CATACATTGGGCAAACGGAAAGCAGCGTACTGCGAACATAAACACACGTTTGCAAAAAATTGGCCAGTTGAATACGTTTCGCTACAGCACGCAAGCGGGCTGCGTTTATGGTTTCGGTTAACTAACGCTGCTTTGAAATGTACACTCACTGAGACCGTTTCGGCTGTGAATTCGACTTCGACACTGAAGTTTAATTACATTCAAAACTGAGCGTCCACATATTCATTTAGAACAATGAACTCGAAACCTAGTTACATTACCTAATATGCATTTATCAAACACTATCTTTCTCTTCGTAAAAAGTAGTAAAGTAAAGTAAAAAAAGTAAAGTAACAGCCTATATATGTCCCGCTGCTGGGCAAAGGCCTCCTGTATACTGCGCCCCCACAGCGGATTGACGGACTTCACATATCTTAAATTTTTTTATATTTATTTTCGAAATTATTGCAGGTCTTCGAATGATAATAGTGCCAACAACTTCAAGTTTCAAATACACGTACAGCAAAACAAAAACTTGTTAAAAGACAAACTACACACGCGGTGCATACTAAATTACCTTCACCCAACTAAACAATTGTTTTTTCGTCGCCGATATTTGAATTGTAATATTTGTGAAACAAAGAAAACTTTTATTTATTTATAAGAATGACATCAGGATAATATAATAAAATTCATACAAATTCTTCGGTTCATATTAAGTTTAATAATTGCACGGTTTATGCCCACACACAATGCGAGATATGATTAACCTGGGAGTCTGAGGCAATCATTGAATTGAGAATAATATGTCAGTTCGTGGCCAAAGTTCTCAATATCTAAATGTTCTTTATAAATGAAACTAATTTTACGGATTTATCGCGTTTATTTTTAATTTTAATTCTTGTAAATGTTCTTTGCCTTTAATAGCAATTTTTTGAAATGTTTATTTTTAACATGCCTATTAATAACGTGTCATTACACATACTATATGTTGTTTGTTTATTTGTTTGTGTTACATAGTTATAGGTCTTCCTTTAGGTGGACCGACGCATCGTAAGAGTCGCGGGTAATGGATGGATGCAAATGGCTGATAATAATGATAATGATGATGATAACAATAAGATGGGACAAAATATCGGAAAACTAACGGGGACCAATAAAATATATCTGTTTTATAATCTACTACTGTATTTCCAACTAAGCAACAATCAGCTTATCACGAATGAAGACATCACCAATCGAATGCCCCTCCGCCGCCTTAAATCTTCGCAACGCATAAGTAATTTGAATAATTTCTTCAAGTTCAAAGCAATTATATTGTATTGACAACAATCGGTAAGGATATCCAGATAAATAGAGTCAAACAATTATCAGATTTTATTAAGTACCTACACCGATAGAATAAGATACGGTAAAATTTATACCAGAGTTAGTATACCAGAAATTATTTAAAGAATTACATACACTTATAAACCTAAAAGAAAAAAAAGGAAGGAAATGCTAACACTAAAGTTCAATTATTAATAAATTAAATGAAATCCTACAAAAAACAACGAATTAGTTAATTTAAATTAGCATGCTAATTATATGATATGATATTTATTTATTTTCTATGGTAAAAACAATACGGACCATTTAAAAGTTATAATATATATAAGTTATAATTGAAAGGTAAGGTACAGTATTAGTAAAGAAAGCAATTTCTTTTGATTCAATTTTATGTACGACTAATGAGTAATAACTCAAAACAAAAGTCATGGCCAAAACTTATAATATGAATTAAAAAGTCTTATCTTCAATATCGTATTACCAATAGGTCAGTTGGTTCTTAAAATTTAAGTGGCAACTTTAGGATGAAATCATAAGTAGAGATACATAATATTAAAAATTAAATTAAGGTACAAGCAAAAATCAATCCATGCAATAATAAACATAATTTATTATTAAAAAGGACTCATCAATACAGAAAAGTTATCCGTATCAAAAAGGAAGGGTTTTTAAAAAGGGTAAAGGAAACAAAATGCAATTCTCTATATATGCAATAACAACTCTTCGTTACAATAAAAATTGGAAAACGAAACAAAATATTTTCCACGTAATTAACAAAAATATATGCAGGCAGTTTGAATACTCTTTCATTTGTAAAATTTTAAACATCTTAAAAACTTACGAACTCGAGTTCAACGTTTTAGCTTTTCTTTTAAAACGCTTGTGGTTCCAAAATGGAATTCCGGTTTTGGACCAAAATAAACTAACGCGCGCGTGAAAATATCCGCGGAAGCGAAATACATTTTGTTTTTCTTTCATGATAATAATAACTACCAAATTATCGGTTGACAAACAAGATAATTCATATGCTTATGCGTCTCGTCCATTAAACTTCTATTTGAATTTATTTCCTATATTGATTCAATACTACTTACGATTAAATCTATAACAAAAGATTTACAACCTAGAGGCAGGGATTGACATCAATAAAATTTGAAATTTATATCTTCGTACAAATTACTTTGCGTATTCAACAATGGTCGATATTTAACCGGAGTGAGTCTCAAACAGTAATAGTGCTTAAAGCAAACTGTCCCCACGACAAGAACTTTTCCAACAGCGAGAACCAGAACTTGTTTTGGAGCCATCTGGGCCGCAGTAAAAAGGCGTTGTTACGAGGAAATAACTCTATTTGCATGTCATGGTACGACCGTACTGAGTACGGTCATATCTACAGTCTTAGGTTACCAAAGACACTCTTCTGACACCGTCCTATTGTCCTGCAATGGATGACGATAAAACAATCCTACGTGAGGGAATTTTTATGTTTCCGATCCCTTGACGTCATTATGATTTAGCGGTTTCTTTTTTTTCTATAAATCACGACAATGCCAAATCATTTGCAAGTTTATGACACATGAAATATACATTAATATTTTGCTTATTCTGTTGTTATTACTTAAAAACGATACTGCGTATGGCATTTGAATTCTTATAACTTCCGCAAGTTAAATTTTCTTCAATCATTCACCCAAGAATTATAATAAAAGAGACAAAACACGAAAATGTTTCTTCTTCTTCCTCTTAAAAAACACAATTTATATCAATAATCTATTGTAGTGTCACGCAACAGCCTTCACTGTCACACGAAAGGGGAGGTCCGTCCGGGAATTAAGACGAGCTCACAAAGACCGGCGTGAACAGGAATTGTTACACTTCTGAGTTTCGTCTGGTGAATGAGGTAGCCGGAGCACTTTTTAAACGGTGGCAACGCATCAGCAACCCTACGGGTGTTGCAAATGTCCATGGGTGTAACCATTTAATATCAGGTGAACCGCCAGCTCGATAGCCACATAAGTAATGGAAAAATCACATTTTAGACTTATATGAAATTTGCCATTTCATAAAGCATTTGGGTACAAGCTGCTACTATACCTATTTTCTTACATGAGTCTTATACAAAATCATATAGGTACTCCTAGGTATAACAGGCGCTCATGTTTTTAATCTTTTATATGAGTGTGGACAGTGATAGTTATCCACGTATCCATGAACTTGCTTTGTGCTATGACAAGTGATGAGCTTGTCGCCGTAGTATGGGCATTAATGTAAACGGCAGTAGGTTAATAAACAAGCTCGGTGGTTAATAAAAAGACAGCTCTTTTGACCCTGTCGGCTTAAAATACGTGAAACGTGTGAGTAGACAATATAACGCATGCTTTCACGTAGTAAGTGAGATCATTTAATAAAAACTGTCCAGACTCTATGGTGTAAACAAGAATTATCATAGTTACCCACAAAATTCCTCGTTTATGAAATTAGTACGGTCGTTTCACATTTTAAAATGAAAACTTTATTATAAATATACAAAAATATATTACACCAAATACACGAAATATAACAGTACCGTTTAATTAGTCCTAAATAATGATTCTTGTTATGTTAGTTGCTATACACTGAAATTAATAAATTAGTTTGGGCTTATATGGGGCTCTTTTTAAACGGTTTTATTTAGCTCGACCCGTACGGAATTTGTTTGTTTATTTATTTGGGTCAAAATTAGAAATTGAAATTTAAGCACCTTGCCGTTGTCAGATTGATCAGAAATTTGGTACACACATTTAATTTAGATGACAATACAATATTAACAAAAAAAAACATAAAATAAAGCCGTTTAACTTAAAAGTTTTTTAAAGTAATTATTGATATGAAGTTTCTATTATTATGATATTAATCCTCGACGAACACTCGATATTCATTATACAAGTACGAAACGATGTTAACCCAGATTTGATTATTGTTGTATTTATGTATCGCTACGGTAACGTCCCTTTTTTGAAGCAATTGAAATACGTGAATGCAATAATCTGTTAGTATTTCTTATGGCAACAGTATTATGCTGTGAATTTTTTATGAGTATAATATTACCATAAGACCGTAATCACCGCTTATTCTTAACGCGAAGAAATTCTGTTTATTGGTTTATTAATTTTGATTTCAGACTAGCTGTGCCCGCGACTTCGTCCGCGTGGAATTTAATACAAAAAAATCTAAAATAAAACCCTAAGTTACCACTTATTACATCAGCTATCTGTCAGTAAAAGTCCCGTCCAAATCAGTCCAGCCGTTTCGGAGATTAGCCGGAACAAACAGACAGACAGACAAAAATTGTAAAAAATGTTATTTTGGTATATGTACCATGTATACATCCATATGCATTTATTAAAAAGCGTTTTTTTTAATATTACAACCAGACACTCCAATTTTATTTATCTGTATAGACTGTATAGATTTGCGACGTACAAAACCCGCGTCTCTCAGTTGTGTGATTGGCTAGCTACTTTCAAAACGTTTTTGTCGCGTTCGTAACTACCTAAATGAGCTCGTTGACCATCAATAGGCATCTCCATCTTCCGATTAAAAAAAGACACGGGCGCTTCCTATGACCTATGCGTTTTCTTTCTAGAGAAATACTTGTCTTTTACGCGAAATCCTTACCCAGGAGTTGATCAAACATCTGTTTTGTGTTTCAGCCAGTCGTCGCCTGCGACTCTGCAGAGCGCTTGCTCCATGAGCATTCCTGGCATGAGGTGAGTCATACGCCTTATTTATAAATATGACACGAACGTAACATCCATATAGGCGTTCGCCGCTGTTCTGTTTCACCGTTCAAATGTTAGACTAGACAAGAAAACGTAACGTAACTAAACATGTTTACTTACCTTAGTTTGGTATTTGCCTTAGTTAATACAGTCGTTGTTGTAAGTAATGAAGAACTTATGAATACAAATGTCTTTAATAACTGTATCGCATGTTTTTCGTATCGGACTGATGACAACACACACAGAATGATATGAATTAATAATACTATGTTTAATATGTACGACATAGACCCTTCTCCTTTCCATTCGCAAATGAAACTTCAATCAAGTTCTTTTTTATTAAATAAACAAAGCTAATCTAATAACTAGTGTTTACACGAAAGTCGTAGGTGCATTTAAAAAAAATTAATAAAAAATAAAAAATCTTCGCAATTAAACTTATTTACCTAACACTTTTTCATTTCGCACTTGCAGACACCCTACTATATAGCGTCAAATAATTTCTAGATATCGTATACGTATAATTGAACTTTACATTCTAACACTTAACACTAAAACTTAGTTACTATTGACACAAAGATTTCTTGTTTTAACGCTGATATTAAAAAACGGTAATTTAAATTATTTTACGCGTTTCATATCGCATAAACGTATTCAAATAAATCCCTAAAATAATTTAATTAATCATGCCTTAATTTTTCTGTATTATTTTGCCTTAATTTTTCTGTATTATTTTGCCTTAATTTTTATCATTGCTGTAATTTTGTTTATCTTGCTGGCTCTTATCAACATGTCATATAGTCTATAACGCAAATACTACTTAGACGGCCTGTAAAATAATCTTATAACAACAATAAGTAAAGTAATAGTCGAAACTTGTAAGTCGAATTTAGATTAAGATGGAGTTGATCCTAAGAAGATGTTAAACATAATGAAATATGTATTAAACTGTAATTAGCGAGTATTAATGCTTCAGTTTTAAACATATAGCGTGCAGTTAAGATGGAGGTATCATTAACCTTCGCATTACCTAACTCGTCATTAAAGCGGACTCCATCCGGGTAGAATTCTCGTTAAACATCATTGCACGAGACGAATAAACTAAGTAAAGCGTCGAGTTTGAAATGGACGTGTTCTGACTACTGCGAAGTTGATCCTAGGGAAACAACTTTTTCTCCTGCTCCTAACGCAATGGCAGACAAATCCGGGTTGTACACGCAGTATTATCTCACGTGCGTGAGTTCGCCATTAGCGCAGCATACTGTACTCACATTAGTTAGCGCACACCTGCCTCAAAGCACAATGTCATTGGCCGTCAAACGCGGCTCATCGTGCCACACGTTAAGATTACGTTTGCTCATAACCAACAACGCTCCTAGTGTTAATGCCTCTAATTGAATAGAATTGCCTGAATTAGCGAGATCTAAAACCGGTGAGAAATCATATTTAATTAGATATATGATCAATAACTTGAAGAGAGCGATAGTCACAATTTCTTTTCAATATCGTATCAAATAGCTTATTCATTACTAGCTTTTTACTGTAAACTATTCAATCCATGTTTAAACTTTTCATTAAAAAAAAAAAAAACAAAGAGCAATATTTTTTTCTACAAATCTCAAAAAACGAAGAGATTAAATTTTGTAAAACAATTTCAAATTAACTTTATTCTATCGGAGTCGGTGAACTTGCCCGGTAGCGGAACAGTTAAACACACGTCTTAAAGATAATGCGTGTCTCCGCGGTGGCGCCATTAAGAAAAACGTAATTACAAAGTACGTAAACAAATCGAGCCCGGGAACGACGGCCCGGCCGGCATTTCTTCATCCACCCGCTAGGAATCTTAAGTGTGGAGTAATCTAGAAATCTTGCGCATGCGAGATGCGTCAGGAGGCACATTCGCCGAGAGCGCTTTGAATTATACAATTACGGGAACCTTAACCGCTGTTATGACGTTGCATTGCAGTGTGCCTTGCGCGGTCTCTGAATTGTTACCACAAAACGAAGGCATAAAAGGCGTTAGATTTTTGTAGTAAGTCACTGTGGCCGCGCGTAAAAATCTTTCGTTCTTGAGCGTTATTTATGTGCCAACCTACTAATAGAATAGGAATGTTGTCCGACCGCATGTAACACGAACAAGAGGCCAATGCGATGTACATAGGCAATAATTACTGTACGTTTGTAAGCAACACTTATGGGCACGCATATCAAATTCGACGTAGACGCCTCCTCTACATGAAATTTCTTTAACAATTCATCAAATAGTCACGTTTGCACATAATCGAAATCCATAAAAATTTATCCACCCGGGTATTATTATGAAAGCCATTTTATATGATTTTTAACACTACAAAAACGTCTAGAATTAGCATAATAATGGTACTTTACTTTAACATCTAGAAATATTACCATCCTAAATTTGGTTGTTTGAAAATATTGAGTTTTGATTGTATTCACTTTATAAAATTTTGTAACAGAGCTTATAAGAATGGGTTACTTATTTATAAATGATATCTCAAATACATCTTCATTATTCGTTTCATTTTTCCATATAAGCTTAACCATTTAAATGTTCCACATGAGGTACCTCAAACATGAGGCTTAGGTTTTTTTCTGAATGAAGTCGTTTTAGCCCAAATGTGGAAAAAATTAATAGTGAGTTTTAAAATCATCGTTATAACAGAAATCATACGCACAGGGCCAACCAACATATGCCCTCAAGTTCAAAAAGTTACCTAGTCGAACTTAAAGTGTTAGTATTATGACATAAAACGTTAACCAATCACCACGTAATGTCTCACCTATCCGGCCGGAAAAGGACTTCCTCACCCACGACGTGAGCCTCATTAAGCATACATATCAGAAACTGGTGATTAAATTGGCAAAAAACTAGAAGCAAGATGGGTTTATCATATATTTTTTTTAATTAATCAGACTTGCTTGATCAACAAACTTTAACCGATTCTTCGATCGTTCTAGTGTTATTTATGTAAGGTACAAATTTGTAACACTATAAACCTACATTATAATGAGTGTTACAAAAGGGTTTGCTTCATCAATTCAATGTTTAAATTATTAAAAAAGTAGTTATCACGGCTTCCATCCAACCCTGATGTGGTAAACAGAGGTGTACATACTGTTCACATATCTTCAATGTTGTAAGTAAGTATTTTTTCCAAGAAAAATCCAAAAAGTGAATATTCATGTAGGGGCCCATCACTAGTATTCGAATGAAAGTTGCTTCCCTAACATCGGAATTTTATCATCCCAGCCACACCAAATTTTACTTGTAATCCAAATCATGCTATATAACCCATCCCGTCACCATGAACGTTGTAAAGTATTCGGAATGGGGTGACGTGACTTTAAAATAAAAAAAAACCGTGAAAAATCCGTAGATTACTTTATAACCATAATAACATTAAAAAATTGTGTTTAATCTAAGTGCAGAGAATAGCACTATAAAAATTTTAATTTCAAATAGCAATGGCGACATCTGTCGTTCGAATTTATTGTTGTAAAACGATATTTGAAATTGCAAAAAAATATTACATGTCCGATTTAAGACTTCGCTTTGCATCCTCGTAAACCCTAAGTCTTAGTTTGAAATGCCTCCGTACTTCTCTGGCATACTGTGGGAGCGTGCCCTTTGCGTAGGATCATCGAATCATTTTCGTTCCATTTCCATAATTAAACAGCGGCGTGACTTTACTATGAGGGCTCTAGGAACGGCAAATTTCGTCGTGACTGAAACCTATTAAGGAATATCACCCGTTACTTCTAAGTGGACGGTGTGAGTTTGATTCCCACTGCTAGAGAAATATTGTGTGACGTGATGGTTTTTCTAGTGTATGTATTTATATATCTATAATACATAATGTTTCACAAAATAAATTATATTTAATTATGTTTATCATCCCCCTATAATAACTAAGTAAGTTATGCTTAGTTTTAGATGTTTTGACGTTGTGAAAAATATATCTTCATATATTTAAAATGAACGATTATACTTAACCGATTACATACATAACGTATTTGATAGATTAATATTTTTTCAAGAATTAATGTGATTGATTGTTTTTAATAATTGATAGTCTGTGATTTAATATAATTTATTACTTGAAAAGTTTACGCTCTGACGCTTTTCGGAAAGAATTTTTTAAACAACACATTTATTCCAAATATATATTTTGAATGGTGTAATGAAATATTGATGAACGTGCTATGCCGCTTGACTCCTTACGTATACTTACATTAATTGAAACTTTTAACAATTCTCTTACTACGATTGCTAATATTTTCCGACTCATCGAGAGACCGTTAAAATTGTATTAAACATAACAACGAATATCCTAACCTCACATCTACAATCTTCACTTAAGTGAAAAGTTAACCGTTAGTTGAAGCGTGTTCTAGAAAATCGCTGACAATGAAGACGGTTATTAAATATCGCATTGGAACCGCATGAGTTTCCGGTCAAGCGACCAGCCTGAAGTTATTGGAATCGGCATCAATTCGAAAGTTTTATGGTTATGTACAAATGCTATTTTTAGTTTTGATCAAATATATTCATTAAAATAATTACCTATACAAAATTATTTAGTCTGTGTGTGTTTTCATGAGGAATCGGTAAAGTTCAGTTTGCTCATCACCAACCCTGTCAACCGGCATCAGTATATCCGAATATCTTTTATTAAATATGGGGCTCAAAACTAAGCAATGAGAGAAGATCGCTCACAAACTAATAAATCAATCATACAACGAATGTCTCAAAGTTTACCAACATGTTAAATGATAACACTCATGGTTGTCAAGCGGTCTGTTGAGATTTAAATTTGAAAGTGTCAACGGGTTCCAAAACTGAAGCAGAGTCGCATCTCAGAGCCGCATTAACTCGGAGTTATCCGCAGAGCAGAGTGCGTGCGCGGTTTGGCGCGATGGTTGCGTGATCGGTCATCATGCGCCTCTTCCGCGGGCCGAAGCGCAGGGAAGTGACCGGGCCGCAGGCTGCGACGCCGTCTCCGCGTCGAGACGTCGCCGCCGGGCCGCAGGCCCCACACGACTACACGCTCGTCACCGCACTCCCAGCCATGGTTATGGATGACGACGTGAAGGAGATGAAGAAAGGTAACGCGGCGAACATTTGAAATTTCTTCTTTGTTGACTGCGTGCGGAAAAAATGCATAACATTCACTGAAGCTAGAAAAACATTTCGCCTTTCCTCAGCAAGTACCTACTATTATACAGATATTAGTTGTACAGTAATTAGGGCATGAATAAAAAATCCAATTTATTCATTCGCCTGCGCTCTATTCCAACTGAAGTGAAGTAAAGTCTTAGGTAGTAAACGAAAAAGCTCACTAAATACCTATTCTTTCTATTCTGTCATTTTATTTCCATTATCGTAAGATGATCAATAATTGCATGCTATATACTATCGAAGAATGATTTTTTTTAAGTTTATCTTTTATATTAATACTTATTCTTGTTTATATAGAATTGCTGCACATTGAAGCAGTAACATTTTACTATAATATGCATATATATTTTATAGTGTTCGCAACCTGGGGCCGCCGAATGGGTAAGAAGCTGGACATGTTGAAAAAGTCTGACGTGAAGGAGGCCCCCGAAGAGACATCACCTTCAGAAGCTACGAATGATGAGTCTTCATCAAGTATAACAGGACAATACAAGAAAAAACAAAATTGGAAAATGGGGCGTAGCAGTTCCGACACTACGACTTTAAAAAGAGACAACGACACCGATTCAATTCGAAGTGGCTCGAGAGACCGATCGCCGAGTCCATTCAAAACATTTTTCCATAGAATGGGTTCTACCGGAATGTTAAATAGTTCAAAATCCCATTCCCTTAATGCACAAAGAGTATCGGAAAATTGTTCAAGTCAACCGAACACTCCTTCACTCTATCGTAGTTGCTCCACCTCACATTTGTCAACCTATGTTAAAGCCGATGATCCTTCTGATGGAATCGATTTACAAAACGGTGAAAGTGAGAGTAACAAGACGTCACCTTTAAAACAAAAACACAGTAACTTATCAGAAGACAACTTAGCGACTTCGTCAACAAAAGCCATTAGCTGCGATAATATCCCTAAACTGGAAGGACAATCTAGTAGTGGTCTTTGTAAGAAACCAAATTTTCCTTATGCATTTCTAAGATCAAAATTATCTGTTTTACCAGAAGAAAATAGCATGGCACATAGACCCGCTGTTTGCAGGCAAAGTTTTTCCGAACGAATTGATAGGAAATCACCAAAGTTTCGGAGAGAAAGATTATATTTACCCAATTCCCATTCAGAAGATCGATATCAAAGTAGTGATAACATATCCGTCCATGACGAAAACAGTTTATTCAACACCAATTTGAGAAGTAATTGTGATTTTGCAAGAAGTTCTATGAGAAGTGTGCACGAAATAGATGGAAGTGTGTATTCATATCGAAGAAACGAAGATGCATCTCGGCGTTCGTCCATGATTTCCCAAAGAGGTCTGATTGACTATGACCCAATGCTTGTCCCAAGAAACAGAAACAGTTTACCGGTCTACGATTATTATGCCGCACTTGGATCGACTCAAGATCTTAAAACTGAACTGGCTTCCTCCAATCAAAGTATACATCAAGAAGTTCTTCAAACACACCGTTTAAGCAGTTATGTCAGTTCAAATGAGTCCGGATACGATAGTGACAGTCGACCGATGGACGAACATAGTAATCACTCCCCACCTGTATATTCATATAATTTATCTAGCGGGACTACAAGAGCAGATTCAATTGTTAATTGTGCCGACCGACACATGGGTAATTTTTCTAGACAATTAAGTTTTAATCAAAAAATAAATGTGAGCAGAATTCAACTTCCTGCTAGAAGAAGCTCAACACCATGTGCTCTTTTTCCACAAGATAAAGATGGGTCTTACGAATATGAGAATAAATTAACAGATAATAAACTACATAATAACAATACTGTCAGTCAGCAACTCTCAGCTGATTATAATGATGCCAAGCCTCCACCACTGCCAAAGAAAACAATAAATAAAAAACCGCCATATATTTACAAAACAATAACATTGGATGAGCGAGTTCAGACTAGAAAAATAAAGTATTTACATTCCCAAATATTACCAGTTCAACATATGTCTACACCAAATCTTAATGAAAACGACTTAATGAACGACCGACCGACACAAACACCACATCAAATACCTGAAAAAGATATTTTAGGTAGAGGGCCTTGCACTAAAAGGTTTAGAAAAATTAGACTATTAAAATCTCGACTCGATGAAAGTCTCGGAGTTTATCTCGCACAACATAGAGTTGACTTTGATAGCACCGGCTCAAACTTTGAAATACGGTACATCGTTGTAAAACTAGATTTTGATGGTATTGCACATAGAGATGGAAGGCTTCGCATAGGGGATGAAATAGTCAATGTAAATGGAAGAGTCTTAAGAGGTTTGTCGTCATTAAAGGATGTCCAACATATAGTGAATTCATGCTCCACCGAAACAAGCATTGAAGAAAAAACATTATTTCATAGATACCAAGTCGACCTTGTCATGGCTCACGATGAAATAAATCCCATTACTTTGAGCCGTATTATAAATAGTCAGCCCTGCGAACAATTATCTGTGGCAACCATTTCAAACGTGACTCCTGATTTAATTTCACAAACGGTTCATAAGCCGTCTTTGACAAATCAAATTACAATCGAAACTCATTTTCCTGCAGAAGACCAGTATATCATAAATTCTCATAATCCGATCAGACAACCCAATCAATTCGATAGTAATCAGAAATGTGAAATTGGTGTTCAAGTAAACCACGGCCCTGTTTTATCAAATCAAAAGAGTGATGACGAGAAGTTACTCGAGAGACGATGTGCACAACCTGGCTCATTACAAAACATTACTAATATAGAAATTTCAATGAGATCATCCCCAATACCACGAAATAAGAGTACCAATAATTATAGGCCAATATCGCTCCATAACTCGAGACCGCAGCCAGTAATAGGTAACTATACTGACTGCACTGACAATGCAACGAATGAGATCAAAGAAAACTCGTCACACTACATCAAACACGTTCCTAGGTTATATCAAAACAGATCTTTCGAGAGCATACCAGAGCAATTGCGAAGCAGTAGTCGAAGTAGATTCTTCAACCGAGTTGGATCGCAACGTTGTGCACCCAATTCAACCACACACGTATCAAGACATCAAGAATATAACGCGGCGATTAAGCACGAACAACAACAATATTCTCATAGCACAATACACAGAGCCGACTTCTGGAAAGGTCCAGGTCATAAGAGTTTGGGCTTTAGTATTGTTGGTGGCACTGACTCTCCAAAGGGGCAAATGGGTATATTTGTAAAGACAGTCTTCCCGAACGGACAGGCTGCCGACCAGGGGACGATATTTGAAGGTACGAAAATTTCAGATTATTAACATGCTGTCGCCTACACTCAGAAATTATTGACATAAGCGAAATAGCATTAAATTCCTTCCTTCCTAATAAACCTAATAAGACTGAACTACACTAATAAACGAATTGTCTCTGAATGTGGCCGTAACTCTTAAATCGCTATCACATTATAATGAGTAGAGAAACGATATCTTAAATGTACTTGTTTCAGGTGATGAGATCTTGTCAGTTAATAATGTTTTAACGCGTGGACTCAGCCACGCCGGGGCTATATCCCTTTTCAAACAAGTTAAGGAAGGAAAAATTGAATTGACGCTTTCAAGACGAAGGTAATGACTTTGTTTTAAAAAATATTTAAGATTGGATACTTTAAGAAACACAAAATTAATATGTAAAACATTTATTGATTCAAAAAATAGTTTCAACTTTGATTAAAGTATAGATAGCATGTCTTAGTTTATTTACTAAACTTTATAAAAATATTATTCTAAAGAAGACTTACAATTTTCAGAGCACCTAGGTCAAGATCTGTAGAACCACTGGGTAATTTTCGCGCTGACAGTAAATGAAATGGAACCGGAAACACTCAGGACCCCAAAGAAATCAACATAATTATTTTTCGTAGAGTGCAATAATGTTCATTTAACTTCTTTACTAGCCAAAGGCAAAATTCATTCAATTATTAATTCTCAGTTTATAATAGAATTAACTTTTATAAAATTATTTGATAAAGTACGTAGTACTATTTTTAATTATATAATATAGTATTAACTTATAACCAAGTTGTTACAACGAACAACTTGTGTTAAGCTTGTACGCTAGTGTAAGAAATATATTGTATTCAGTTAAGAAGCTATAATATATATTACCGCGGAAATACTTGAAACTTTAAAATAGATGTAAAATCGCAAGCTTTATATAATGTGAATACATAAGACTGTATGTATTATTCTTGTGACTTTGTAACTTAATATTGTTGTAAATGAGGTTAAGTTGTGACAGTAATTTTTTAGAAATGCTAGATCTCGTTTTAGCTGTACATGTGTACGTAATCGAGTAAGTCATGCATCATTTCATTTTCATCGTTAATTTATCTTTTTAACAGAACAGATAACTTAATTGCGTTCATTTAATAATAGACTGATGTTTTAGTTTCTTGTAATGTACCTTTACTGCCAAAGTTTTAGACGTAATTTTATTCAATAACTGCCGATATAAGACGTGTTTAGAAACTACAATATATTAATTATAAGAATTTTGCGAAAAAAAATTGTGAATCGATTACTGCTTGGAAGCATAAGATCATACAACTACAAACAAACAGTCCAAATGTGAAATGAATCAGCGAAAATGCTCCGTCCACTTATATTAAAATGAAACGTTATGGTAGACTTTTCCTCACATAGTACCATGGTACACTTTTTCCAATGTTTTTAACAGTCAATTATCTTCCTTCAAACATCGTAAAGCCAGCAAGGCCATCATAGGTTCTTAAGTGGTTAACGAAACGAAATTATTTGTAAATAAATTACGATACCTCTTTGCTTCAACTATTTAAAAATAAAACGCTTAAATCTTTTACATCTTTTATTTCGCGCAATACATTAGTAGAAAGAGGATTAAAATTACTTTAGTAATTAAATAAAGTAGGGAATATAGATAAATGCAATGAGTCGAAAAATATACGTACAAAAAACGGCAACAGCAGATGCGGAACGATATCGGCTGTACCCGTATTGTATTTCCTTAACCAGGCGACAGCTGTCGCTTTACTTGATATCACACAAGATGGCGACTCCTCTTAAAATCCAATGATCCGGGTGTTTCATTGTGGGCAGCCACAAAGGTGTGATAAATGTTAAATCCGTGCGGCAGGGTTTCTTGTATACTGGGCACTGGGAATTAAATTTGTTAAACAGCAATTAAAGAAGATTCTAATGAAGGTCAGAAATATCATGACAAGAAAATAGTAAAACTAAAGGCATAGCTGCTACGTGGCATCATTGGTGGTTGAGAGCTGTGTTTATTATTATTACTGACACTAAAAGCTAAACACTTTAAATAGGATTATCGATTCTGTACCGAAAACGACGTCAGAAAATTGTTGTGACTACGATAAAATGAGTTTGGCCCAAAATACGTAACACCTGTCACGTACTCTATATATTTTTTTTTAATTTTATACATCAACTAACAACTATCATCAGATACCAAATGCGATAGTCAAATTCAAATTTAATTAAAGAAACAAACTATAACTAAAACTAAACAAACACATTACATATAACAACGTAATATATATTAACATTATACTTATCAATATGGATTGCACCTAACATGCTTTACGTTTGCATAAACGAAGACCGGTACAAATCATACTCACTTGATAAAGTTTAGGATCTTTGGGTGCTGTGGAGTTAATCGCGTAAATATGCAATACCGGCAGCGCTGCATAAAGTACTTTGAGGGTGGATTCGCAAAGGCGCGTGTTGCGCCGGTCCCAGCCCGCACCGTCAAGGAACACGCCGTGCACGAATACTCCTTCCTGAAGAAAAAAAAAAATTTTTTTATGGATTTAAAAAGGGTGTGTTACATGTGTCGCGCGCGCGGATTATTTAACATGAAAAAAAGTATCAAACATAACAAATATACGGCTTAATATTTTTATTCATTGCTATGGGAAAGCGATGTCGCCAAAATTTTAGATATATTAGGGAAATAATAAATATACAGCAAAACAAATAAACAAAAACATATTAGAATTTAGGAAATATTACATTTTTGAATATTCTATTATATATTTTCTCAAAATATTTCCATTTAGAAAATAGATATAAATTAAAAAAATATATAAATTATTTGAGGTTATAAGAAGTTCAAGTTTTCGGTACTCTTATTGTATGTTTATTATTTAAATATAGGTATTTTAAAATGTCATCAAAATTGTATCATCACCGGTGGAGGCGCTTTGATTTCTTCGTAAGTATATTTTGTGACGTCGTTGTGTAAAGCGACCATATCAAGCGCCCAACCCTTGTGCGCTCTGGTCACTTCTTGCCGCATAGCGGTTAGAAAACCTTAAAACAAATTCACAATACTTTTATAAATAATCTCTTGTTACTTATATGTATGCAAAGATTATACATAGTTGTCATTTTCTATCACCTAGATTGTCGAGAAAGTTAAATATCTTCTTAAGGTACTTTAGCATATAGAAAATAATGAACTAAAATTCAAATTATAAATTAATGAATGTACGATAAAACAAAAAAAAAGAATAAAACAACTTTTTGTTAGTACATAAACTAAGCGATTAATAATACCCACCTTGGGGATTAAAAAATCCCGTCATCCAAAATGAATGTGGTCTGGCAATAAAACACCAGTTAGAAAACTGTTGATTCCTTTCAAGGAACTCCGTGAACCAAAATCCTAGTGTTGACGATGACCAGGATCTCCTTAGCCAAAGTTGTGGCACTTTGGCATCGTATATATTATCCAGAGAATCTCGCAGAGCCTGATAATGCATTAGTTAATTACTTTTGTCAGTGGTTATTAACCACAATTAAATACTCATTAAATTAAATAATTATCTAAAAAAATCCACTTAATAATCAGTCAACATAACTCCAAAACTTACCTCGTTCATTATAATGGTACCGTCGATAGCTAGTAAAAGGTCTCGCAATGTAACGCGAACCAACGTAATAACTTTTTGCATACGGTCAATCTCTTGTCTTAAGAAAATCACCATAGAATTCAAAATTCCGTAGTATCGTAACCTAAAAGAATATTCAATCATGGATATACATATTATATCTATTTATTAAAAAACGATTAGCATTATCTTGTTATTTTATACGGAACTGGTAACCGTACGGTAAATGACGGTGCAGCCATAGATGGCATGTTGGATGTAGACAAATATTTTTATTAAAAAAAAAACAACTTTTTCTCACCTTTCTTTCACTTCATTCGGATCGAAATTAGGTGGTACTTTTTCAAGCATCTCTTTAGCTTGTCTATAAACTGATGCCTCACGGGTTTCACCCCCACCTGAACTGGATTCTTTTGGCTGAATAGATAATATTGTATCTAAAAGTTCCTGGGTGACGTGCGTTTGATACCTACAAGAACAAATATCGCCGTTATAAAAACACACTACTAGTAAAGCACTCTAGTAGGTTTCCCATATATAAGCAGTATAGGCAGCTTATACAAATTTTTATCCTGTGTGTGTAGATCGAACCCACAGTGTAGCGCGGTATAGTATTTGTTTAGGTAATTACTTAAACCATTAAATGCATTTTAAAGACACAAAGTAGTAGGAAACCAAATGATGCTTCTTACGTTATATCGGCGTTTGTATGCAATCCATACGCTTGAGGTGGATCAACAGTTTTCATCTTCTCAATTTCACTCGATGTATTCTGGAATATTTCTAAAGGCCATGATATTGTAACCCTTGTAGAACTGGAAACCTTCCGTGAATAATTGATCGGTAAACCAAACCCTGCAGAATGTTTCTAGGAGGCGATTGTCGTAATCATCTGTCACGCGTCCGCCGTACTGAACGGCGGATACCATGTAACTGTAGCATGAGGGTAAGAATTCATTAACATACAAACCAATATGGGGAAAATTTAAAAGGAAAGTCATCACTACCTGAAAAACATAATTTAGGCTTGGAGTTAGACCTTATTCAATTTTACATCCTCCAAAATCTTCCAAGAGCGCAAAACATCAGTAAGAACATATACCGTGATGAGGTTAGCAACAGTAGATGTACCATGATGATGAGGATAGCGACAGATCAGATACTCTTTACATAAACTAAGTTAAGAAAGAATATCAATAGTCTCACCGCACTGTCGTCCAACTTATTGCTTGTCCGACTTCCAGAGAATCAAGATGGTTTTGTATAAACATACAAGAAGCGAGCCAATCCGCAGAATTAAATTCGTAAGGAATGTTCCAGCCAAGGGCTCCAAACTTACGTCTTTCTTGTACCACAGTATGAAGGAATGATATTGTGTAAATTAAAGGCAAATAGAAAGGACTATCGCTATAGTCCAGAAAGTCTTGACTCATAGAGTCATATGTCCTCATAAGACCAGCCTTGACCCCTGTGAATAATTAAGTCTTGGAATTGAAAGCTATCACAGCACCTTAATAAAAGTTAAAAATTATAAAAGTAGTTACCTGACGGAGGTTCGCAGGTATACTTAATAGACATTTGTAGCAAAGTGATAGGGAACTTTGGATGAACTTCCGTAGTAATCCAAAGCCTGAAGTCATATAGCACATTTTAAATAAAACCATTTATGACTCTCCATAGTGGAGCAGCAACTAAACAATAGCATTTTTTTACCTAAACGTTTCGTGAACCTTCTCCGGTTCCTTCTCCAGCTCCGAGAATTGCTCCATAACCTCGATCATATAATCTAGGCCTAAATGACAATTTTGTAGCAAAACCCATAAACCCTAAAAATGAATGAAGTTTTATTTTATTTACCCACAAACTTGGTAGCTGTATTCTGAACATGCTGTATAATAAAAAATCCTACAAAGTATTGAATACATTAACATTTACTAATATGTAAGTTGAGATTGTGAATATTCAGTACCTCTTTGATTGCTCGATCTATTAGCTTCCTCGCATGAACCTCTTGCCCCTGGCCCATAGAGATTGAAGAACATAAGCACTCCAGTCGCTTCGCTGTCATTTCTATAGAAGGCGTCGGATCAGAGCCCATTGCCAGAAATCCAATTAACGGTACCAGTGGACGAGACTCGAGCACCATATTCTATTGAGGAACGTAATTTTTTTTTTTCGTATTATTAGATTTTTTCACCGTGAATACAAGATTTTTCATTAAGAGCACCCGACACATTGAAATAAAACAAACTGTCTAAGTGATATTGCTACAATTTTGTACTTTATTCTAAAGAACATTCAATGATAATTTTTACATATACTTTGGTCAAATGGTGTCGGGACTCCGCTGTAAGGAGTAAATCCTGATGAACCTATTTTGGACAACTTCTTCATGGGGTTCAATGTTATGAAAATTACTACAAATTTTGTTGCCCTTCGGGGAACCTGTCATCTGTGTATTTTTTTTTAACCCAAAAACCGGCTTTTGCTTCACTTCTGTCTCACCTAATGGCAAGTAATATGTAATCTTTAAATGGTAAACGCACTAGCTTAGTAACGACTTATTCGCTCTCGTCTTGATGATACACATTATAATACAAAAAAAAATTACCACTCCTATGCTGTAAAAAAAGGTTTGCAATGTCAACAAAAAAAGGATGTAGTCCTGTAGAGCGTCTAATTTTACGACAATGGAATGGGAAGGGGATGGATTAAATTATGCAATTCCTATGGACACTCTCCGAAATGCAACCTATAGAACACCGAGAGCATGACTAATCTGCGCCTGATCTTGAGCCCGGGCAGGTTGATTTCACGTATCCTCAAAAAAAGTAGACGAGTGGTGATGTCACATGATCTCTATAGCCAGTAGATGTCATCAACAACGAAAATGATGAAACCCTCGAACTTCTCATCCATTAACGTTTGCCGTACAGTATGGTAGGTGGCGTCGTCTTGAACCAAGTGTTATTAACATTCATGTAAACGATATTATATCGATCACTATTGACAGTCAGCTAGTTTCTAGCGCTTCGAATAAAGGCTGATGACACCGCTGGACTGAAATTCACACCAAAAAGTAGCTTTTTTGGTGTAGAGGTGGTGCACCTAATGCATCTCCGGTGGATTTTCGTCACAATTTTGTTTCTTTACGAAACGACTCATAGAGAAATGAAACACCATTGAGAATGTTTTTTTTTTTTTTCTGAAAGCAGAGTCAGACACCAAATGATCTAAAGCCCAATCAGCGTGTACACAGCTGAGGTCGTTGAGCTTTAGTTCTTGAGTTAATTGAATTTTGTATAATTAAAGAATCGAAGTTTTGATATATTTCGCAAAGTTATTCTTGCAGACAAAAAATCTTGTGCACGAGACAGAATGAACTGCTTGGAATTTTGTCGCACATATTCACTAATTTAAACAATATTAATCAACTATATCGCATTCATTTGCGTACAAGCATCCTCAACCACTGTTCCGATCGCTCTAGGAGAGGTAATTTGGATTTAAAATTGGATTCAGCGCACAGAACAGATAAGATATTTCATCAATTTCAACCCATTGTTGAAGCATGTAGCATACTGAAATGACAAAGCTAAATAAATACCCCTATCAAATTAAACAACTGCTTCACTGGAATGGCCGCAACACGCTGAAACTTCTTATTGAAAAACTATGTCTTATAATCTATCATATCATTAATGAACACGTAAGCAATATATAAACTACTATTTTAAACCGTTTGTTAAATCAAATATAAATATAAAAATATACCGCCTCTTGTACTGTTTAACAAAAGTTCTGAGCAGATTTTTTCATATTAAATTTTAATTTGAAAGCTTTATTGAACTTTTAAACCAATAGAGCGATGTTAGATATCCTAATATGTACGTTTAGTTACCATCAGCTTTTAGATTATTTGCTTTGGCCCCGGTTAAGAAGAATAGCGAAAACATTATGTTAAGATATAGTAGGAACAATGTGCAGACTTCGTCAATAATATGTGCCATAAACACACATTAATTATTTCTATACAGATTTAAAAGCAATTAATTAAAAGCGATGTCGTTAAGAAATGTCCAAAGTGAAGTAAATAAAAAATATAATTACTTCGTAATTCACTATAACAGCTTCAGAGAACCTTGGCCCCATAGAGCTTATAACGTATTTTCTGGAAAAAAAGGTAATTTACACATTCATAAGAATAAATTTAGGGCAAACGAAAGTTTTCATTTATAATGAAAAATACTGTTATGTCTTATAAAATCTTAATACGTACAAACTTTGTGCCAATGTTCTGTCTGGACACCAAGCACGAACCACTAACAGTTTTCGGAAAACGTCCAAGGTATGATATCCATCTGGTAGCGGTTCATCTTCTGGCGCCTCTTTCTCAAACCTATGAGAATTAAAGTTAAATTTAAAAATAATTTTAAAATTAAAAAAAGACCGTTGCAACAAATATTAAACGCCGTACCAAGATTTCCAACCCTTTTCATTGTTAGTCAGTTGGTTTAAAATATTAGTGAACTGTCTTAGGCCGGACAATTGAACCAAATTTAACCAGGACATGTCAGTTAACCATTTAAATGGTTTTTGAGGACATGCGTTAAGATCTAAAGCAGCACCGCCTACAATTAAAATATATATGATAAAAGAAATCATTACTAAAAATAACTATTTGTTTGTATCTAAACCAAACACCTCCATAACTTAATTGTCAATAAATAAAACTTATATTCACATAATAAGCTACAAAGTTATAAGATTGACTATTATTATCATTTCAAGATCGATATTGTATGTAAAGGAGTTGTGTAACACAATTACTTTTCAATTATTCCTTTTCATTCGTTAGTGTTCAATAATAATAAAGTGATAACCTCGTTTAAAACATACCCTTGATAAAAGTTTGGAACTCCTCAAAAGTAATATACTCTCTCTGTAAATCGATTTTAAGTGTAAGCAAAACAGTAAACAAATATTTGTGCTTCTCATAGAAACCGCGGCAGATGTACTTAAAAACATCAAACGTCTGCAAATAATAGAAAAGGTTGATAGTCGTAACTAAATTAAGTCGATACAAAGATAAATAATTGTTTAACATTTTTACAATACGAAGCAAAATAGTTTCTTTAGTACGTACTAAGTATTCAATGATGAATCCTATTCTTTTAGTCGTTATAGGGCTCTGCGGCGATCTTTCCATGGAAATGTCGAACCGTTCTAAGAACTGGGCGAGCGAGGTCTGATACATGTTGCAAACTAGGGACATGTTGCAAATCAGGAAGTACAGCACCGACCCACGAGTTGCGACCGGTCTGAACTCCTCTCTGGCAGAGTTGATCTTAACCTCAGTTTCCTTGGCTACATCAAGTTTTTCTCGCACCTAATGTAATATTTTAGCTTTGAAAACAATTTACAAATTTTTTAAACATATTCTCTTATATAAAAAAGAAGTTTACATTGTTTACAGTTAATTTTGATCTATGTATGAATATATATTATAGTACTAGATTTAAGCTCGCGGCTTCGCTCGCGTTGAACCCCTAAATAAATATATTTCTTTAAAAAAAAATTCAAATTAAAAATAGCCTATGTCCTTTCTCAGGTTCTAGACTATCTGTATACCAAATTTTATTTAAATCGGTTTAGTAGTTTTGGCATGAAAGCGAGACAGACAGGCAGAGTTACTTTCGCATTTATAATATTAGTAATGATTTGAAAAATAAATAATCAATCGGTGGGTTCGGAATCGGTGGGGTCGATGGGTCCGAAAATCCAATTAATTTCTTTTTAGTTCAAAATTTTTTGGTTTTCCTATCAAAAACTGCATAGATGAGACGTTAGAATACTTTTATTCACATTTCTACTTTTATTAACTAGGTATTCATTTATATCTAACTGAGCTAGAGTGTGGCATCGAGGGGGTGCGATAGTTTAGATTATATAAAAAAAATTTGTTCTGTTAAAATCGTACTTACCCGGACGGACCTGCCCATTCGTGCAACAGTGAGTTGGCACAAATGCAAACAATATTCATTGAACTCCATGAACTAATTATTTTCGCCATACCTAAAGAATTATTTATTTTCTGTTTAATATAAATAACAATCTTAAATATTATTCATAAGTGTAATGTCACCATAATAATTTTATAAATACAAACAAATTAAATTAGACAAATAGGTAACAGTCATTTAAATGTTATACGATTGAGCCATCAACACCAACAAGAGCTGAAACTTTATTAACCTGACCTGCTTGATATTTTAGTCGATCAGAACTTTGTACTTACTTCAGTAGCAGTCGCTTTTGTGACGTTAAGGACTTGGATTAGTGTTACGTCTTCGACGAGAGACCCCTGGATAGTGGTCAACTTGTGCAACAGATTTGCTTCAAGCTCCTGCATCTTTCTTCTATTTGATGTCACGTCCATTATAAGCTGCGTACGTTCTGCTTCCAATTCCGCCTTTTCTGTTAGTATCACGCGACCCAGTAACTGGTCCTCCAAACCTAATAGTATTTTTATATTAGAATATTTGCATTAAATTTGTTAATATTGTAGTCATACGCTGTATTTATTTTTACCTTGCATAGTTACAGTAAAATCTATTATTGAAGTACGTGCTGATATTTCAGGCGTATAAGCTGGATTGGGCAATTTAGTAGTAATATAAATCTTATGACTGGGCATGACGTCAATTTCTTTGTCTCCCAATCTTACCTAAAAACAAATTTTTAGCAATTTTTATAAATCCTCCTTATTGTTATAGTTTTTCTGTAATTTAAGTGCCATTACTTTATATGAAGATCCAATTTTTATGTAATTTTTCTCCAGAATATTGTCTAAAGCAGGATCCAACTCTTCCGCCACGTCTTCTATTAACAAAGGTCTTCCAAGTGAAACACAATCCTCTATATGATTCCTGAAATAAGGATAGTAATCAGGGAATTACAAGTTTTTGTTAACTACTGTTAATGAGTCACTTACTTTCTTTATAAAGCCATTTATTTTCGTAACGTAAAATCATACCTGAAGTATTTATGATTAAGCGTCGTAACAATCAGGTCGTTATATTTCTCCATATTTTTGATCCATATCTTGCCTTGTGTCTGTGGATCGATCAACAGCGGGAAACGAGCAGCTTTAGTGACGATAATTCCGTTTTGTATAGATAACTCATCTGTTGGAAGGCCACACAAGTTCCACTCTCCTATCTGTATTTACGATGAAAGAGTAAAACTATTATTAGTCACCTAATTCCGTCAAAATAAAGACAAAATGTTTATCATTTTGTCATCATTTTGACGGAATTACATTTACAGTACCTTAATATAATTAAATAATTTAAAATAATTAATTTAAGAGTACCAGGAAAAGAGCAACTACAATTTTTCATAAAAAAAATTCTATATATATATGGCTTTATCTTTAAAATAAATAAAAACAGCACACTTACTTTATAAGGAAATTCTAAAATGTAAAAACAAAAACATTTCATTTTGATAGAATTACCGTTGCTGTGTCGGTGAGTTCATCAGTAATACTTAAGCTCATAGATACTGGTATTTTCCGTTTTAACAATTCACTAAGCCAATTGTTAACTAATAAATTGCGAAATTCTTGATTAAAGGGTCCAGAATATGACAGAAACCTATGGAAAAATAGATTGATAGTTTTCGTTACCCAAGATCAAGGTATATCAAGAATTTTTAAAATTGTCTATTTAAAACGGTGGCAGGGCCACGCAACAGCGTTGCACGAATGGGCAGGTCCGTCCGCGTTAGTACCACGACATCACAGAAGACCGGCGTAAAGTAGAAGTGTTGCACTTCTGCGTTGCGTCTGGTGAGTGAGGTAGCCGGGGCCCACATTATTAAGAGGTGGCAAAGTATCTGCAACCCAACGGGTTTTGGCATTTCCATGGGCAGGCGGTTATTACTTAACGTCAGGTGAACCGCCAACTCGTGTGCCCTTCCTCACATAAAAAAGACACTTAAACACATTGCCCTTACTGTAGGATAACATTATCCTGTGTTGTAAGGACGTTTTACATAGATATATTATGTCTTCTGCGAGGTCGTGGTACTCAACTGGACGAGCTTGTCCATTCCTACGAGTAGAACAGCCGAGGCTGCTGCGTGCCATAGCAAAATATTAAATTTGGAGAATATTGTTTAAATTAAGTAAATAACATTTATTCAAATTCAATTAGGTTTTGAAACGTTACCAATCAATAATATTAAAAACCACCTTCCATATATATTTATTTTAATTTTTATTACCCGGTAAGCAACAAAATATCTCCCACGAGTCGTTCTATTTGGGACTTGAATAGGATTGATTGTTCGGTCCAGCGGACGCGTTCACCGCTGAGCCCATTAATAAGAGCTGTCGCAGCGTCCATTTTCTGCTGGCACTTGGCAGCATCGTCCAACACAGCTTGCTTAAGTGTCATGGCCTCATCAAATTGTTTCTGTACCTCCGCTAATTCGTGCTATAAATATTTCATAATATTTATTATTCATGTCATAAATAAAAATAAAATACAATTTAATCAGATTATATAACAAGATGAGTTTCTAATAAGTATAATACAGGCTCTGTATCCGGACACAGCTATATTGCATCGACGGAGAAAAACAAAAAGTTGTATGGATATGACTTTAATAGGTCATTTCTTCTAAAAGCTACGGAATCAATAAGGGACCGACAATAGCATACATAAGGACTTCTTAATGATATGAGCGTTGTGTATGTTTATTAAAAACTAGTAAATTAAGATAATCACCTCTTTGGCTTCTAATAACGCCTCCGCAGCCTCGAGCTCTTTCTTAGCTGCTTGGTACTTGCCTTGCATAACTGCAAGGTTTGCTTTAAGTGGCAATACATCTTTATTAACTGCATAAAACTGCGCCATAGCAATGGTCCACGATATTAATCCCGCTACATTGCCGCAGGCTATTTTAGCGGCCTCGAACGTATATTGACTGAAAAGAAAAATAAAATAATTTGCTACTTATATTTAGTTGTAAATTATTTATAACCAGTAGTAAAATTAGTAACTAACCTAAAATTGAAGTACGGTTGTAACAAGTCTACCATTTCTGCATTTATTTCGTCTTTGGGATAATTTTTCAAATTGCTTAAGAACCTCGCATCAGCCATAATCTGTGAATAAAATCCTTTTAATTTTCATGATTCCCTTGACACATTTTGAACGATAAAACGTGTACACTTGTTACCTTTAGAGATTCCGCCCAAGACGCCGTTAGAAAGTTTTTGTCGGGATCAGGCTTTATAGGATCAATACGTTTCCTGAATAGAATAATTACGGCATCCATAATAAGGGTGATAAGGAATGGTGGTTTGCCCAATTTTCTCACGGTAGCTATATCAGCAGCATTAATAGTCTACGAAGAAGTCATAAATGTCAATTTAATAAAAAAAAGACGAGCAATGGTAATAAAGTTATTACTAGAGTGTAAGTCGTTTTTTCCTGTACACTCAGCATCGAGGGAAAATGATTTTGATGAAATTTCGCAATATGGTGCCTTGTAGTTTGTATGAGTAAGAAACACAAAAAACCGGCAAAGTGCGAGTCAGACACACGAAGGGTTCCGTACCATTATCTATAAAATTGGCAAAAAAAGCAAGTCTGTTGTATGGGAGTCCCACTTAAATATTTTGTTTTTTTTTTTGTATTTGCTGTTATAGTGGCAATAGAAATACAATATCATCTGTGAAAATTTCAACTGCCTTACTATAACGGATCATAGGATACAGCCTGGTGACAGACAGACAGCGCAGTCTTAGTAATAGGGTCCCGTTTTACCCTATGGTTACGGAACCCTAAAAAGAATCGTCAAAAAACACAATGTTACCTGTAAAGCAGCTTCAGCGGCATCAAGCGCAGGCTTCGCTGCAGCTAATTTATCTTCAGCAACTGCCGTTTCCGCGGCTATCACGTTGACCAGTTTCACGGCACGATCTTTTACCGCTAACACTTCGGCTTTTACAACTTCGGCAGCTGCTGCCGATTCTGCTACGGCTGCCAGTACCTGTTTTATTAAGTTTACTAAATGAAGATTTTATATTGACTAACGTGAAGGAGGTGCTACAACTATTTGATCAATAAATATATAGTAAAACATTCTGATGTAGGAAAACCATGAACATTTATACAGTATTTTTAACTAAAAGCTTACCTCTTCTGCTCTAGCAGTAGCTTCTTTTATTTCTTGTTCCTTCAGCTCTAGTTCTTTTTTCAATATATCTACACTCGCTGCCGCTTCTACCAATTTGTCTAGACCTGTAGTCATCCTGAAATGATTGATTTACAAATGGAGACATCACTTTTACCAATGTCCTTCATTAAATTCTGATTCTTTATTCAACAGTGACTTTGAACTGAACAAGGTTTTTAACATTGGAAATATTACATATTTATAATAATTTTCATTTATATAATTATAAAACAAGTTTTAGATATATTATAAAACTAATAAAAGCTATTGAAAAGTTACCGCCATCAGCTATGATCACCAAAAGTAAAAAAGACACACCGATGGTTGGTTAAATGGAACTATTTTACGGATTTTGTGGCGTTTTAATTTTATGTTAAATTCCCGAATTTTCGAACCCTTTCCAACGTTCATCGACGTTCAACGGGACAGTTATAATAGTCCTTAAAATAGTTTAATTTAACCATGATTAATATTCGCGTAACAAGAACTCGACACTGAGGCTTGTTAAGCACGCGGACTTAAATAATTTGACCCACCTTTTCGCCATTTCAGCAATATTAATATGTTTCTCCTTATACAAAAGCTTATAGCCTTCTAAGAAGGACAAGTATGATTTCGGAGTCACGTGAGTCTGTCTCCTAAATCTGTCGTAGTACGCAACGCATGCCTCAGCAACATTATCTTGTACCATGCCCATCACCTCAATCAATTGATTTTTAGTATCGTCGGAACTAACGATCTGACAGAAAGGGACAAAAAACTCTTTTAGAATCTTAGAAATTCAAGAACATTACGAGACTGCTACGGTAAGTTAAAGCGAAATGTTCAAGACACTCATACAAAAAAATACCTTAAAATCTGAGAGAAAATGTTGGGCGACTTCGATTAAAGCCTCCGTAGGCCATTTTTGGAACCAATCCATTGTAGATCCAGATATAAGGCCTGGAAACTTTAACGCCCTACTGCGGAATTTCTCACCGACCTGATCGATTTAAAGTTATATTAAAAGAAACAATAACATGAAAAAATTATATAAGCACAAAATCTTGAATTCATTTATTACCGGAGAGAAGCATAAAACCACATGCAAGTTCGCCCTCGACCTCATGATAAAGTATTCATATAGCACATCTGGAACTGGTATTCTCCTTGGTGCCAATTTTTTCATAATAGGTGTCAATTCGTTAAAAATTTCATCTAAAAAAATTATATTTATTCGTCTTATCGCTTCTAAAACTAGAAAATTTTATCATTTACAAATATAAAGGAAATTATCTTTTCTCTCATGGCTTATCTCTAAATTTTAGTCATTCTGAATTTAAAAAACCGGTCAAGCGCGAGTCGAACTCGTAAACAGAGGGTTCCATAACTGCTCATTATAACCGCCATAATAAAATTGGTAAATAATCACCACCGATTTTCGCAAGAACGGGTTAGGGTAGTAGGGAAGTTGAAATATAATACAGCGTATCGTTAAAACCGCAAGAATAAATGAACATACGTCTAACGCTACTTACCAATAAAATTAAAAAATGTAAAACTTTAAAAAATAAAAAAAGTTGAAAATTGAGGTAAATTTCGGTATATTTTTTATCGTGTTGACTCAGGACCTTGATTTTTATAACCAGGGACTATTACCTCAGTATGTGGTATAAATTTCAACTACCTAAGACCATTTGTTCCTGAGAAAATCAGCGGCGACACACAGACAGACAGACGGACAAGATAGTGATCTTACAAAGGTTTGTTTTTAAATTTTAAGGTACGGAAACCTAAAATATTAGTATTTACACGGAGTGTTACGAGGAATGTAAATTCTTCGAGAAAACAAATTAATAATTTATTACAAACAGCAACTATGTTAAATATAAAATATGAATAAGTTTATACCCATTTCATCCTTAGGAAACAGGTTTGCTATTTCACCAGAACTCAGTATATTATTAAGAAACTCCAAAAATTGTTCTTCTTTGATGTCATTATCTGTGAATATGAATGAAACTCCAAGTCCCTGTAATCCAGCGATGCGATACAAAATTTTTATGTCATCCATAAAGTTGTTGACATTATACGCCCTGTAAAATTAATAAGCATTAATCATTTTTTTTGGTATAATTTAACATTCTATATTTCATCATAACTTAAGAGATAACATTACCTTGTTAGTGTAATCTGATAAAACGTGTAATTAGCAATGAATGAAGCTAATTTCGTCAAGCTTTGTTTACCGGAGCCACCGACGCCCACGAGAAGTGCGTTTCCTCTACAATCAAACCATTAATTTTAAGAATATTATACAGCATGATATAAAAAATACAAAGTTATAAACATAATTGGTGGCATTTATACGATACAGCCTCAACTTAGTAAATTATTACTACTGACTAGGTTCGCCTTCAATTCAATACACTCGAGCAACCTGAATTCGATCCTCGTTGCCGGTACCAATTAAATTGTTAATTTTAAATGCTTAATTATCACGTCCTCAACGATAAAGGAAAACATCGTGAGGAAACCTGCATATTTTCTAAATGATAATAAAAAAAATATTGACGGTGGTAGGGCCACGCAGCAGCCTCGACTGTTGCACGAATGGGCAGGCCCGTCCGGGTAAGTACCATGACCTCACAGAAGACCAGCGTGAAGTGGAAGTATAATACTTTCGCCTTTCGTCTGGTGAGTGAGGTGGCCGGAGCTAAATTTTCAAAAGTTGGTCAGCGCATCTGCAACCGTCGAATGTAGCAGATGTCTATGGGTGGCGGTATTACCTTAACATCAGGTGAACCGTCTGCTCGCTTGACAAATTTTGACATAAAAAAAAATATTTGAAAGAATTGTGAAGTCCGCCAATGCGCAAGTGGGACCGCGTGGTGGACTATGTCCTGATACCCTCTATACAGAGGAGGCTTTTTCCGCGCAGTATGAGATGTACAGGCTGATACTTTACTTTATTTTAGGCGTAACATAAACTTAAAAACAGATAAAATCGATGTCACGAAACGAAAGATCGGGTCCAGAAACATATCGGAATATTATGACTACATACTTTAATGTCAAAAGTGATAATTAAATTCAATTGAGATATTTTTGGACACTTCCCCTAGACGTCTAGATATACTAGCGGTTAACAAACACAGATCTCTCCAAATCTTCTGAAATATAATCTCCTATTTACCTTTTTTCTTGGTTTTTATAAAGAAATATAAGAAGCAGAAGCCACATACACCTTTACGTTGAAGTTTTTAGCACGAACTTTTTACTATGTGAAATGGTTTTAAGTGATAACCGTCGCCCATGGACATCTTGTATTAACTGATGTTTTTGCTTTCAGTCCCGAGACTATTAAAGCTTCATCGGACGCAGTGGACATCTTAATCGGCTGACCGGTATGCAAATGCCATAAAATATGCAAACATAAGTTAATAAAAAATTGTAACAGAATACCCACCTAGGCGTGTTAATAATTCTCGATATAATGAACAGATGCACCATGCAGTCGTGGAAAAACACCAAATCCAAATGCATTCCTCTGATTTGTTCGTTGAATTGCTCTTGGAATTGACCTAATTTTTTTAATACGAATTCCCATCTGCAAAATAATCATGATTATTTTTATATTTATGCCATTACTGCACTTAACATATTTACAGAATTCAACGCAAAAACTTTACAGTATCCACGATTACGGTTCAGATTGAGCTGGTTAACTCGCTAATTTCAAAAGAAGCATAAATATATTATTATGAAACTTAATATTTCTTTTGATATACAACTCCTTAAAATATATTAACAACAAATATTAATGTTCCTTTTATACGAGCATATTACATAGCCTGGAATAAATAATTTGATCTTGTCATAACTCCACATCACTGTACCACAAAGTAGCACCTCACTACTCATTTAAAAAAAATAACTTTATATATTTTTATGTGATAAATGAACTGGCGGTTTACCTGATGTGATAACCATGGCCAATTGGCAATTGCAACACCCGTAGGGTAGCAGATGCTTTGCCACCTTTTAATAAAATGGAGCCCGGCTACCTAAGTCACCAGATTTAACGCAGAATTAAAACACATCCACTTCACGTCAGTCTCCTGTGAGATCATGGTACTTACCCGGACAGACCTGCCCATTCGCGCAACAGAGAAGTTTTGCGTGGCCCTATCACACTTTCTTTATATTACGATACTTAAAAACTTATAACGTGTTTTGATGTCATCACATACGATGGCAACTCTTCGTATATTTTTGGTGCTTCAGTGCTGAAATCCTCCTCTTCATCACCTGTGGGATCAACTGGCTCCCTTAAAAAGTTGACAAAGTAAGTTTCTTCGGTAGGAAAGTCATTGGCAAATTCTGATAATTCACGTCCAGCGGTCTTCCAAAAGTTAGCGACAAACCATTCCTTGTCTTCAAAGTCTGTAAACCTAGGGCAAAAATGTAATTTTTTTCGATATTCAGTACACAGTTTATTATTAAAGGAAAAAAAATCTGATAAAAATAATTACAAATATGTAACTCTATTATAATTAAATAAAATGATATTTTAATAAATAATGAGCATTTTTTGTTACCTATCTGAAATTACTCTCAAACATTCATGGAACCATAACTTTAGGGCAGTTGCTATACTTTGCAATTCATCCCTCTTGATGTAAAGGATTCCCTCCCAAATTCTTGACAGATCACGCAAATTGAAAACATAGTGAAATTTTGCTGGAGTAGGCAGCATTTTCACCTGAATAAACATAGGTTTTGTTAGTTTTCTAAACACAAACATTTTTAAAAATTCCATAAAATATACTTACCTTAGTTTGTTGCCATATTATGCGAGTTACAGGTACAAGTTTTGGCATAAACTCTATTATCTTTTTATCAAACCGTGTTTTACAGAAATAGCCCGTACTTATAGTTTCTGTTGAATAAATAACGATTTGAGGAATAATAAAGTAATACACGCTTATTACATGGAACGAAAAAATAAGATAACACACCAAAAATTTTATCCATTGAAATATTACTTGGAAGAGTACAATTAAAGATATTGAATTGCCTTTTGAGTCGTGGTGGAATATCATTACGGCCGCCACCTGTGGATGAAAGAAGTTTTGTTTATTTTTTATTTTCACCATTGAAAATCCGTTGAGAAATTTTATTTATCTGGTTCTGTGATTGTATGCGTAACTGCAACTGAAATACTCACACAAATTCGGTCAGCTAAAATTCTAACATATTTCTTTAATTTTCTCACCTGGATGTATCATCGCCCCAAACATTTGTATATCGGCGATAATATAAAAATCACCCGGTTTATCCAACGAGTAAAAACCTCCGCATTCCATCATTTGACGAACAATTTCGTTGGTTACCTATTAAACAGATTTTGTTCAATTGTTTTTATGGAAAAGGCAAATTTCAAGCTGGTCACCTGATGGTAAGTGATTATAGCCGCCCATAAACACTCGCAACACCACAAGAGTCACAAATAAGTTGCCGGCCTTTGAGGAAAATGGCTCTCTTAATGAAGGTCGTCTTATTAAACCTTATCGGTCTTTTTATAACACTAAAGACAACTTGGTTGTGCGTCGCAGAAAATCACGTACAATTAACTAATTTAGTGTGTGATTTAAATACTAAAACTATAATTACTTATAATTTTAGAGATACCTCTTTACAAAATTTTGTAATAAAATTTGCAAGTCAACTTTGTTGATAAACAAAAGTTTTTATGGATAAAAAAGGATAAAAAATAGATATTTAAAAAAAACAGCAAGCCCAAATTAGTTCTTTAGCATACCTGATCACCCCACTCGTTTACGACGGGCATGTTGATATCATCCACAAAGACTGTCATGCCTCGGCCTCCCGGGGGACCGTAAGTCATGCCCACCCGTTTCTCGACGTACGATTCGATGATTCTCTAAAATCATGCACAGTGGTTAATCCATACTAATATTATAAATGCGAAAGTAACTCTGTTTGTCTGTCTCGCTTTCACGCCAAAACTACTGAACCGATTTAAATGAAATTTTGTACACAGATAGTCTAGAGCCTGAGAAAGGACATAGGCTGTTTTTTTTATTGGATTTTTTTAAAGAAAGATCTTTATTTAAGGTCTTCAACGCGAGTGAAGCCGCGGGCGAAAAGCTAGTTTTAAATAATAAATTTGAATATAGATTATAATTGTGAAATAGCAGCAGAATTCAAATAAGCGTTTCTCTTTGAACAATTCCGGCATATTGATTTTGTTAATAAATAGACAAAACCCTACGAGTTCAATAAAACCAAAGCGATTGACGTATTCCGGACCAAAACTAGAATAATCCAACACTTCGCATAAAAAAATGTGTGATTATGATAACCTATGAACGAAGGCTAACTTCATCATAGACCACTAAAATTATTATGGCATAATTGCTATATAATAATTAATAATTCATATAAAATAATTCACTAATGTGAATTATTAACAGACCTGAAACATGTTGGGCGTGGTAGCCGAAGAGAAATTTATCATTTTGAACAGTTTCACTTCGGTATCGTATTTCTGCATGTAGCCCTTTAACATTACTGTTTTTCCCGTGCCCTGCTCCCCAATAAGCAGTACCGCCTTGTTCTGCTTGGCTATAGTGTCTATCAGGAATGATATGCACACATTGTCAATGTTAGGAACTAAAATTGATGCATACTCTGGTATACTGTCTGGCGGATAAATATAGTCTTCGACGCTTTCTGACCTACGGATTATTAAGTAAAATTATATTTTCAAATACATTAATTTTTGACAATTATTGCATATATTATTTACTATTTAACAAATTTAATTTTGGACTTAAGTTATCCGCGCTCTTTACAGCATCTGTGGTAACGGTATAGATAGTCCAAAAAGGTGATCATTGTGGCGAAATTAAAATTAAATGTGATAAAATTCGTAACACCTTATAAAATGTCCTGTATTCGCGTCAATAAAAGAAAAGGATACGTTTATTTCTTTTATATGTAACCACATTGCTGTGATTCATTCAAAGTTTGAAATTTTAGCAATGCAATTCCTTTAAAATATAAGTAGCAATCACCAGTGGGCTCTTCACAGTGGTTGTTTTAAAAATAAAAAACGACAGGCGCTATGAGACACCTGCTTGTTACGAAGTTATTTTTACTGTATTATATGAAATAACAGATACAGTGAAAAAAAAACTAAAAAAATAAATCAAGGAATCAAATTTGCAAAAAAGTAGCGCCGCGCTACGCGCTAGTTTTTTCCTCGCCCCAAGTAGCCAGAGTTGCTAAATGGAGGTGGCACAAAGGTGCAATAATATTTTTTTTACGTGACGATTTCTCACTTCTCCCGCAAGCCATGTTAAGGAACTTTGTTCCAGTAATTATTAATTAATATTATACGGGACAAAATAAATGTTACATGTCTATCCCACACATTAACTCTATTTAGGAAGACACTGTTTTTTTTTGTCAGCGGCGTAAACTACGCTGATGTTTTGTAGGATAAGTCCACCATCCACATTCGCCACATTATTAACCAACCCACGCTTGAGCTGCGAGGTCAAGCGATTTCCAACCAGAGCACCATAAGGTACCTTGGGTACCGGATAGACCGCTCGAAATGCATGGCTCTCCAGTTCGATCACGCCGTTTGACAAGCCAGGGCAGCTCGAGCCATGCTTTATCCTATTCTGGCATCCAAGCTACCAACAAAGACCAAACTCGGCGTCTTCAAGACGTATATTCGCTCGTGCTTGACCTACGCCGCTCCGGCGTAGTACGCACTGGTTTCCGCCTCGCAGAGGCGCAGGCTCCAGGCGCAGTAGAACCTCGCCCTTCGAGCAATCGTGGGGGCCGGGCGTTACGTCAGGAATGACGTAATAGCCCGCGATCTCAAAGTCGAGTCTATCTGGGAGTTTGTGGTCCGGTTGGCCCATCGCATGTACGACAGGGCCGATAACCCCATCTACAGAATTTCGCACCCCTCCACGCCCGTCCTCCTGACGGGCACCCGCTCCCACGAGAGCTACTGCGGTCGGAACAGGCCACTGGGGAGCCGAACCCGACCGCACTTCCGCCGCGTAGAAGACGATGTCGTCCTCGCGGTACACACCACGTGTAACGCCGTACACCCGCCAGTGCCGCTACCGTGGTCAGAGTACAGGATGGCCGCTGACCATCTTCACCACCGACCAGCCTTTTGCTGGTCGAGATTACGCCCGATAAATGGGAACTACCCCGAAACTCGTTTAGAAGCAGGCCTCGCGCCAGCTTATGTACATCCTCATAGGATATGTAATAATTATAATAATAAAAATAAGGGAATAAGCGGAAGCATGGCGGGAGGGGCTTTTTAAGCGCCCTCACCATGCACAATCGCGAGGTGTGCAGCCTCCGTAACTACTTTCTGGCGAGATCGGATGAGTCAATCTACACGGACGTCATTAGTTGTGATAAAGGACTTACCCCTCTATCCTTAGCCAACGAGCAATGGCAGGACCCGGGAGTACTGAGCGTTTCCGACCGAGAGGCTGTATGGAAGGAGAAAGAGCTCCACGGGAGGTTCTATAAGGCTCTACACGAGCCTTTCGTAGATACTGTTGCCTCCCTGAACTGGCTACGTTTCGGTGACCTCTTTGGGGAAACCGAAGGTTTTGTCTGTGCGATACAGGATCAGGTTATTAAGACGAACAACTATCGGAAATACATCCTAAAGGATGGCCACCGTCGACATCTGTCGAGCTTGTCGCCATCCCGGGGAGTCGCTTCGGCATGTTATCTCCGGTTGTTCCATGCTTTCTAACTCTGAGTATCTGCATAGACACAACCTAGTAGCCAGAATCCTACACCAGGAGCTCGCTCTGAAATACGGCCTCGTGGAACGGAAACTGCCGTATTATAAGTACTCTCCGGAGGCCGTGCTCGAAAATGACCGCGCCAGGCTCTATTGGGACCGGTCCATCATCACAGACAGGACAATTGTCGCGAACAAACCTGATATCGTGTTGATGGACCGGGCACAGTCGCGGGTATTTTTGGTCGACATTACCATTCCATATGACGAGAACCTCGTGAAAGCCGAAAGAGATAAGAAGACGAAGTATCTGGACCTGGCTCACGAGGTGACCGACATGTGGGGTGGTGTGCCGACCGAAATTATCCCGATAGTCGTGTCTGCGAATGGGTTGATCCCAGTCAGCCTCTCTAAACATCTGAGGCGACTGGGACTCCGGGACGGATCGCTCCAGGCTCAAATGCAGAAGGCGGTGCTCCTCGATACCGCCCGCATCGTCCGCCGGTTTCTCTCCCTTTCGCCCTAACCCTCGGCCGTTTGGTCTCCCCTGCCGAGGGCTTCCGTCTGGTTGGGTCCTATTTATATATGTATTATATAAAATATTTATTTTTATATATATATATATATATACATTTTATCCATAATATTTATTTTATATATGCAATATATATCTATATCTTTATTTTTATTTATTATTTATAAACCCAACCAGACGAGAAAACAAATGAATATCCCCCCAATAAGGGAATAATAATAAGGGTTTGCGTATCGGGCAAGGATGCATCGCTTTTATGCTGAGCTGGAGCCGTCTGTAACCGTCACCGCGCAAAACCTGGCAGACCGAGTTCGGTACATCACGCGTTCGAAAATATTTGATGATACCGAACTCGAACGACTTCGACGTGAGGCTGTTCCCTCATCGGACGAAAATGCAGTGTAGCTGGAAATGGGACCCCGCAAGCTGCGTATCCCGCGGGGTTACAAGCGTAAGCGAAGGCCGCGTTTTGCCCCCCGGCTCCTGTAGATTCGTTCGATGATGGAATAGTCGCCCAAGATATAGAGCAGATGAGAAGCCTATTGGAGAAGCAATTCTGGAGGTGCGCGGAATGCCTCTCGAGAATCGACCACACCTCCCCCGCATACCCCTGAGTAAGCGGAGTCGGTCTGTCGTGAGGTCTCTTAACCCGATGCTGGCAACCTATTTGGAAGCTAGCCGGGACCTTCTATACGGACTCAATTCTCTTTGGCGCTGCACTGGCAGTATGCCGAATAGTTGCCGCCAAACTTCCCAAGACTGGACGTACTACTAGACCAGGTAGCACTATCCCAGTATGGAGAAGAAGAATTGGGGACCCAGCCGGATATTACACAAAAACTAACGGAGCGCATAGATGACCTGAAGCAGAGGATCGCTGCTTGGGGGAAGCGGATTCGGAGATATACCGAGAGGACGGCGCGGTTTAGCCAGAATCGCCTCTTCCAGAGTGACCAAAAGAGGCTCTACAAATCTTTGGAGCGACCAATGAGCTGTGGAACGGGCCAAGGACCAGACCAGGCCGACACTGTCGCCTTCTGGCGCAGCCTGTTGTCAGAGCCCGTAGACCACAGCGAGGGCCCTTGGACGCAAGTCATTCAGTCGCCAAGTTTTCTACATGGATGACCTCAAATTATTCGCCTCCAATCGCTCCCATTTGATGGAATTGCTTAAAGTCACTTGTGATTTCAGCAATTCTATCAAAATGGAGCTCGGGACGGATAAGTGTGCGGTCCTTCATGTCGAAAGGGGTAAGGTCACTAATACGGAGGGCATAGACTTATCTATGCCCGTTAACATAAGGACCCTCTCTGAGGCTGAAACACACCGATACCTGGGTATGTCACAAAACATGTGTATCGAAGAGGCTGGCATGAAACAGTCAGTTCGTGATGTGTTTTTTGCACGCCTGACAAAGGTGTTTAACAGCTATGTCAGGCGAGAACAAGGCGCGCGCATTTGACGGCTGGGTCATGCCAGTCCTCATGTATACCTTTGGCATACTCAGGTGGACTCAAACTGAGCTCAACGCCCTGGACCGAAAAGTCCGCACAACTATGACGTCCCATAGAATGCATCATCCGAAATCGTCAGTGATGAGTGACTCCGGGACGGATCGCTCCAAGCTCAAATGCAGAAGGCGGTGCTCCTCGATACCGCCCGCATCGTCCGCCGGTTTCTCTCCCTATCGCCCTAAACCTCGGCCGTTTGGTCTCCCCTGCCGAGGGCTTCCGTCTGGTTGGGTCCTATTTATATATGTATTATATACAACATTTATCCATAATATTTATTTTATATATCTATATGTATTTTATATATCTATATGCAATATGTATCTATATTTTTATTTTTATTTATAAACCCAACCAGACGAGAAAACAAATGAATATCCCCCCCTCCCATAATAATAATTAAGCCTCTTTATTCCTTAACTTACAGAGTCAATATTCATAATACTGTTTTTTGTTTATTTATTTTCTTTTTTTTTTTTTTTTTTTTTCAAAATGTATAAAGTCAAGGCCCCTGGCGGGTATAGGCCTCCTCCAACAGCTTCCAAGTTTTTCTTGTGTTTGCTTTTTTTTTGTCCAGTCGTTTCCAGCATATTTTTTTATTTTGTCTACCCAACGTTCCTACGGGCGGCCTCTAGCTCTCTTGCTATTTGGGCCTCCCCAAATTGTAGTGAAATCAGTCCATCTTTCATCTGATAGGCGTGCTACATGGCCGGCCCACTTTAGGGTCCAGAACTTTTTCCATGTCATGTTTATTCTTCTGTCAATCTCATCTTCTAGAATTGAGAAAAGAGATGGATTTCCCTAGGTAAATGTAGCTCTCTTACGTATTCTAAGCTTTGTAAATTGCTAACTTGTATAGGCTGTTTCCTGTCGTTAGTCATGACTTTAGTTTTTGTTGTGTTTAATTGTAGTCCTATTTTGTTACTTATTCTGCACAGTTCTGATATCATTTCTTCTAATTGTTTCGATGATCTAGAGAAGAGTACTATGTCATCAGCGAACCTAAGGTTACTCAATTTTTTTCCATTTATGTTGATACCTTTTTGTTGCCATTGTAGATCTTTCATTATATACTGTAAGACAGATATAAAAATTGTAGGAAATAGTGGATCTCCTAGTTTTGATTATTGGCCCAACCCAATTAGCTTTACTCTGCTTACGCTTTTGTTGTAGATGTCTTTGAGGATGTTTATGTACATACTCAATAATCGAAATAAATCATCTTCATTCCAGATATTATGATAGGCGTGATAGCTCATCCTGTCCGGGCACTCGCTTTTAATTTAATATACCCGAGCAACCTGAGTTCGATCCCCCGGTGCCGGTACCGATGAAATTGTTTATTTTAAGTGCTGAATTATCATGTGCTCAGCGCTAAAGGAAAATGTCGTGCGAGTAAACCTGTATATTTGCAGAATAATAACAAGTGCGTAGTCCGCCAATCTGCAGTTGGCCACGTGGTAGACTTACTCTAATATCCTCTGTACAGAATAGGCCTTTGCCCAGAAGTGGAACATACATAGGCTGTCTGTGACTTCAAATGTTATTTTCTTTGTGCAGCGCTTGTGGTATAAAGAGAGCACCTTTTTTTAAAGTTTATTAGGTGTGTTTAACCAATTACAATCTATCATGATTACAAAAGAAATATACACAGAAAAAAAAACACATAATATTAGTTCGATAATGACACGGATGTCAATTACCAATGCTGCCAGACACCAGCTTCGTTAACCATATAGTCGAAGGGCATAACCCACTCCTTCGACTTAGCCCCAGGCCAGTCCATTCTTACGGGGAGCTTCGTCATAAATTCAGCCATGCGAATGCGTTCGTCAATCTCCAACACGGCTCCCAGTGACCACATCATGGAAAATATGAAAAGGCGCTCCAAGTGCCTATCTGTGTGCGTCTCTTAAAAAAAATCAATGGAATAAGAATATCTCTTTCTACATTTATAATCCAATGAATGATTTAGACAGTTGGTAAGTAAATAGGTATTTTGAATGTAATTAACAAACTAAGCAAATAGTTTTATGTATTTTTAAATCATTTTTCATTTCTTTTCTTTTTTTAAATTGATTAATCAATCGTTATATAGATAAACTTACTGCCACCATGAACCTCTATCTGCAATAGCCCAACTAAGACATCTATGCACTGTCTAAAAAGAAATAATAACGTTATTTATAAGAGCAAAATAATTATAATATTATGAAGTCTGTTGAAATAAGGTACCGTATGTAAATAGCTTCCAATAGGTACATTTTAGCTGGTAACTTTTGTTGTACAAAAGTGTGCACTTCATCATATACTTTATTGAAGGCAGTACGCAAGACATCAGCTTCTCTTTGTCCTCTCGTCCTCAACCATCCCTGTTAATGAAAAAAGATAAGCTGTCAAACTATATTTTTATTCGAAACAATGAGGAAGTTCGCTGAAGGTTCTTCAAGCTGAGCAATCGGCATAGCTCTTTGGATTTGCAAGCTGAAGTGGCAGCCCACATTTGATGACCGATGGGGAGTAAACGTTGTCGTGTGGCGACCATGAACTGGAAGATGTAGCGTTGGAAGGCCTCCGTCTAGATGGATCGACATCCTAAGAGTCGCGGGCAACTGTTGTATGTAAATGGAAAAGTGTCTTTCGTCGACGATCTACCGGGGAGGCCTATTTTCAACAGTGGACGTCTTGCGGCTGATGATGTTGGTGATGTTGATGATTATTCTTTATACAAAAACAGCTTTTGGCTCAAAACTACCATAAATGAAAATATGTATGTATTAAGGCCTTGACCACCAGTGGAACATAAACAGACTATTACTTTACTTTCCTATATAAAATGAAATTCTGCATTTAAGAATTATATGCAAATTTGTTCATCGTGTTGCTGTGTTATTAAATAAATATTGAGTTCATAATAATTGTAGTATTAAACAAATTCGTCAAACAGCGCCAAAATCATTCTTACTTAAAGCTATAGAACAATACTAGCCTCCAAAATCGGTTGCCATTTTAAAACAGAAGACGATAAAAACACCATCCCCATTCGGCTAACGGTCGCTGGTGAGGCGTTGTCAACATTGTCTGGTTCGAATACCAGTTTGCTGTTCTGTGCCATTGAAATACGATCTCCATTCGCCAAAGTCAGTGTTTTATTGTCGTCTAATACAGAATTCAGATTTTCAATCCATACAGCGTCCACCGGACCATCTGAGGTAAAGTAAGGAATAATTATCATAATGGGGTATTGTTGCTTTTCAGAAATCCATGTAAAATTAAAAGAATTCTGTCTTAGTCCTCTCTTAAAAACCCAAATATTAGCAGTCCTATTTACATTGTTATTTCAATTCACTACTCAACATTACCATCACAATTATTTACAGTAATTGATTTCGCGTAGCAGATGTCTTGTCCAGCACAAAAGGAAATAAATAAATTCTTATTATTGGCTACACATTAAACTTTACCCAATCACTTCTGCTCACCTAGCACGATCCAAGTGGTATCACTTTTCTTAACCTTCAAAGCTCTCCGCCACAGTGTAGAAAATATGCCGTCCGTCCAATCGTTGGTGGCGACATCTAGTCGCCCGAACATTTGTGGCGCGGTTATCGCTTTGGGGTTCATCCGCATCTCCTTATGCGGCTTGCCCAATTCCGTTAGGGCTTCCATCAAAGTGTGGATGCAAGTAGTCTTACCCGACCCCGTCGGGCCCATCGTCATTAAGCCGTGACGCACTAGAGACGTTTCATACAGTTGTATAATTTTAAGATTCCATTCCGGATGATTTACTAAACCTGAACGGTCTGTTGCTATAGTTATTCCGCGTTGCATTTCACTGTAATTAATTGCAATTATTTATGAGTCTGTGTCATTTTAATGTAAAATATCAATTTTGGAGGACTAATCACGCAACTTTTGACGAAACGAGTGGAAAGGATAACATAACTTAAGCGACGCACTGGCATGGGAGGAACATTTTGGCTCGGAAATTCGAGTGTACTGGAATTATCTTAGTAATACGCGATTACTAAATTGGCAGTTTATATTATTTTTGTTGTTTTATTTATAGGTAACTGTAGACGAATTAAAGTTAATCGTGTAATAAAGCGTTTTCTTTCTTTTTATAAAAAAAAATTAAATCTTTCATAAAAATATCTACCTATTGAGACAAAAGTGCTTACCGTTGGACAGTTTGTGTTAACTTCATTCCTGGGAAGAGATCTTCAATCAAAGAAATGAAAAGCGGTTCATCCTCGTCTACCAACTTAGACACGTTCATTTCCCTAACAAAAAGTAATCGTATTATGATAATAGTTCTTCAAAATATATATTTTCTAATTATGAACGTTAACAAAAGAAATTTAAAATCGTTCATTTACGAGATCGTTTATCGGTTTAGTCGAATTATCGATCGAGTATTGTGTAAAGATCTTAACTCACTTCAATACTCTCATCATAATGTTTTCCTCAGTGCTTTCTGGATTCGCTCTTTTCTGCGCTCCCATTGTTCGCAACACCGATAAAATATTTCTAAGTCCGAAGTCATAATGTACCTGTTTCGATAACTGCTCTTCGCATAGTTTATATAGCGTGAAGAATTTTCGTGCTGCAAAAAGAAAGTTCTCAGTAACAATGTAATACAATATACGAGTGCACATAAGCTTTAGTTATTCCTTTATCAGAAAGAACTAGCATGATGACTAGTGATAACTTCAAACCAAATAAATTCACAACACAATTGCCTACTACATACAACACAACTACCAAGCATAGATACCCTACTCATAGAAAAGGATAACGTATGAATACGTCTAAAAATAAGTACTACCATAACTTGTTAATAAATATGTATAGAATATAATTAAAAAAAACTAAAAAACCCGACTGCGTTTCTGGGTATTTTATTTTGATAATTGGTGGGTGACGCAGTCGGGCTACAGTAAAAAAGTTGTCCCCGACACGATTCTCGACGCGATAGCCGATAAGCTTGTCATTATGCATACATTTATTTTACAATTTCCGTCACTAATACAAAATCTGACATTTTATATAAAAAAATATTCATCAATAAATAAAGCCCTTAACCTCATCTAACGAATGAAAGATTAAGAACTGTCAAAATTTCTAAGTACCCAACAATATATTTTCTTTAAATCCACAGCTGGCCAGTTTCACTCGAATGATGATTTGCCTGTCCGGCACCATCATGGCAACTGAACGGAATTGGATCTTTAAGTTCTCGGGCAGCTCTTGCCGACCAGCGTAGCCAGGATTCATTGTGATTATGAACGCAAATTCGGGGTTCAAACTTACGACGTCGCCGTCACTGTTTGTATGAAGGAATCGATGAATAATTTGCGAGCAGTAACTCTTAAAATACTCATATGTATCTTCTGAAATAAGATTTCATTAATATCATAATAGTCTACGACCGCTATGCTATCTCCGAAATGGTATATCCGTTCAACATTTCTTTCAGATCCTTTGCGACTTGAAAATGAAAGAATTCAGAATTTTTTTTATTATCTTTTATTTTTATGGGGTTTTTATCTAAAAAGATACACCAAGCCTATCTAGTTAGTCACAAAAAATTACGAATAATCCTTTAAATTATAGATTAATATAAAAAGAGAATTACTGTTCGTTGACTTGAACAAGACCGCAAATACGTTTCATTGTTTCACTTTTTGGATTAGGCGAAATATTAAGTATATTCCGATCTTGAAACAACAATTCCCTTTTATTTCGGTTCCTTTCATAATCCATCAGCATATGCAAGTTCTGTCACAAACACTAGGTCCCGACGAAAGAGAATTAGAATTTCGTACCTAAATATGAAGAATTCCTTCTTTTCCCTTCTTGCCGTTAGACATATATAAATCTGCTGCGCAGCAACAGAAAGGACGGGCAACTCGATGCGGTTGAACTCGTCAAAGCAACCCCACGTTCCTGACTGGGCAAGGCCCTTATAAATACGGCCCAAACCTGTAAAGATCGCTCGATAAAACATAATTCCGTTTCATCTCTATTTAAATCTCGAAATGATTATCATATTGTACTTTAACGTAATTTAAACATCATTGTTGGGTGTAGTTAATCGAGCATTCTGAAAATCATTATCAGAGTAACTAAAATAGACATCCATCTCATCACTATTTAAATGTCTAAATCGTGATTTTAACAATATCATTCTTAGGAGCAATTAACAGTAACAAACAACAAACACATATCGAGACCCACCTCGGAAATCCATCTGATCGGAGCAGTTGAATACGATAACGAGCTTGCCGAGGGCGCGGCCCATGTCCTTTGTGGTCTCGGTCTTGCCAGTACCAGCGGGGCCAGCTGGTGCACCGCCCATGCTCATGCCAATAGCTTGTGACAGCGTGATATAGCAGCGATCCGTTAAAGGCGTGATCACCAGCCTCTCGGTTATACCTAGGTACTCGTTCTGTGTGAAAAGATTCACGTCAAGATACAATACTCTCCTATAAAAAATTCAGTCAATTTGGAGAGTAGCTTCGTGTACCAGACGGTGCACGATTAGCACCGATACCAATAGACCGTTAAAGAGAAAGTTCAATTTATGAAAAAACGGATATCCAGCTAGCACTAATATCCCATAGTTACTAGATTTGTACATTTAATAAAAAAGTACCCGGAGGACCGAGCTTTGCTCGGTTTGTTTTTTTTTTTGGTAAATCGTGTATTTTGGAAATTACAATTAGATACAAATTACTGGGTAATTAAATATGCATAATATTTTTCGATCTTACGGACGTAATAATAAGAAAATATGAACTGATGTTTTTCACAAAAGAAAGAACTTTAAAAAAAGGGAAAAAATAACAAAATAACAAATTGACAAGAAATTAAAAATAAAGAAAGCAATGATCTGGAATCGAAAAAAAAGTAAAAAAATAAATGTGTAAATGATCGTGACGCGAACCACGGCCGTCTGTTTTGGGGTCGCCCGATTACCGACCGAGCTATTATGACATTTTCTCTAGCGGCGAAATTTACCGTCATATTCGAATTATATTTTTCATTCCCTGAAAACCGGGATAAAAGGGCATTTTTTAAAAATGAAACCTAGCTAGATTGATTTTTCGCCCCCGAATCTACGCAAATACTAAATTTCATGAAAATCGCTGGAGCCGTTTCCGAGATTCCGATTATATATATATACATATATACAAGAATTGCTCGTTTAAAGGATAAGATATATAAACACGGAAAAAAGTATATATAAAGGTATACTACGTTGGAAAAACTACTGCGTAAAATATGCGGTAATAAGTTACTTATGGTAAAAATATTTTCACCTGATACAAGAAGTCTACATCCGTAATAGAAACAACACAATCGTCACTGTCTTCATTGTAATAGAATCTGGCCTGTTTCTGCCATTCAAAATCGCCCGGATTTTTAATCCTCATTTTGACCAGATCATCAAAAATATCTCTAAAATAAAAATGTGAGTTTGGTTTAAAGAATTTATTTCCCAAAAGAACATTACATAGTTCACTTAGATGAGAAACTTAACTAAATTATTTACAATAAAAGAAAGAGAGTTAAAAAACTAAATACACAATCTCCATTTTACACAATTAAACTAATCTCCAATTTAGCAGTGTAACATACCTCTGATGTACGTGGATAGTAATCATAGTTTCAATCCTGGTTCTATCTAATGGTGCTATGTCCTTAATTGTTTGGTCAATCAGACCGTTCAAGAGGTCGAGGAATTTTTGGTTGGTCAATCTCATGATAAAGCGGTCGGCTCTTGCTTTTTTTAGTGCATATTCAGCATCACTAGTCCATAAAATTTGCATACCTAGAAGACTAGCCTAAAAAGGAAATGGTTCGTTGAAAAGGTAAGGTTCGTTCTAAGTAAAAGTAATAACAATATATAGTAATATAATTTATATCTATACAACTAACATCTACAAAGATTGAAAACGAATAAACACTTTTGTCGATGGATGCAGGTGGCTCGGGATCGTGCTTCGTCTGTGGGGGAGGCCTACGTTCAGCAGTGGACTAACACAGGCTGAAATGATGATGATGATGAAACACTTTTACATAAAATAATAAACACTATGTATTTACTTGTCCAGGGAAATTCCAAAATCCAACCAAGAATTCAAACTCTGGGTCTGGCATTGCTTGACTTATGCTAGCAATAATATTCCTCACTGTATCTTTCATAGTATCTAAAAGTGTATTCAACCAAATCTGAAACGTTATAACTTCGTAACAGAAATTATAATAATATGGTTTAATATTATTTTGATTTCAATATACAAAATTGGAAACTAATGTCATATTAAACAAACAATAATAAAGCCACATTTACGAGTTTTTAATGTACAATTGAACACAATCCGAAACAGAGTTCAGTTTAACAATGTGCTGTATTTTCCAAAATTACTAGAAACGATTAGCTGACAATGTTTTTATTTACCAACCATACAATTAGAAGAACTAAATTCTTTTTATAATATCATATATTCTTTATCTCACTAAATGAAAAAATGTCCAAACCTCGACTCCGCCTAAACAAACTACTGGCCTGTCTAACTTTATGGTCTCTCCGTTGTTAGAGTTCATTGCAACAATCCTCTCTTTATCGTCAAAGTCCACAGTATATATTGCGTCGAAAATGCTTGGTAAATGAACCTGTATATTTAGAAAAAGCATACAAAACACTCCATTGTTCGATAAATTCAATTTGTTATTTAATATATCTACTTAACTACTTTACTGAAAAATCACCTGAATCGAGTGAGGATCGGAGGCTTGACCGAGTATCTCTAATAACACGGGATCAGATACAAAGAAGAATCTTGGGAAAATGAGACGTTTGGTCTCCAAATATCCAGTGAGAGATTTCTGACAGGCCTCCAGCTGATCCATTAGGTGAGGCAAAAGCTGTTTCAAACTTTCATCTGCCGTGCACGTCTCTACACAATTCACGATGTCGCGTGCACGATACATAATCTTTACATAAGTTTTGTCAATTGTCTACAACAAGAAATCAACATGTTATACGATGGTTGATAAAACAAATGTGTAACGAAGTTATTTCGCTTCGCTCTTATATCATTTTTAAACTATTCATACCACTTCGTTGAAACTGAAGTGTCGTAAAGTATAAACTTACGGCAAATCTTTTCGCCTCAGCGGGCAGCTGTTTAGCAATGTCGCCACCAACAAATACGGCCTCTAAATATATCCATAGATTTTGAACTTGTAGCCATTTCTCCAAAATATCTGATGTGCTTACTAATTTATTAATCCACAGCATAATATCCTTTTTAAACGGAGGATTATACCTTAAATTTAAAAAAGGTGCTGTGGTACATAAAGTACAAATAACACTTAATTTTACTAATTACATATCGATTCAAGCATGCTTTGAGGAGTTTCAGTTATTAGTTCCGAGTGTAAACCAATAAATAAATAAATACTTGTCCGTAAAAGCTGTCACGTCCTAATTTGATAAGCTCCACGAAAAGTGGATAGTGCAAACTGTAACTGGATTGGTAAGTCTGGTTGCCATTTACTAGTAAAAATAATTGTTCGCGGCAAAAAATTAAAGGTTACATAACGATCACGCTCGTATTAACTTCAAATTGCATGCATAAAAACAAATGAAATATATATATATTAAATTAACTACCTATTTGACGCCAGAGAATTCAATATCATCAATGTGTCCTCTAACATTGTAATAATATCGAGAGTTTCTTGCGGCTTGATAAGAAGCTCCCCTCTGTTTTTAAAGGGGGCAAAAGTCAAATTCACTACCGCCCAATCAGACACAACTTGTTTTAATTTGGCTTCTATATCTTTTTCTTTCACCGCACTGATGCAAATATCCTATAACGAATTATTGAATTAAATAACACTTTTTAATTAGGTAATTGCTAAAAAAGGTAATGTTTAATTTACAAAGAATATATATACAAATTTATATAACACATCCATTGTTAATTTCATTTTTCATAGCTTTAAATGCATATCTGTAACATATTTCATGTTACAATACCTCAACATCTTCTTTGTACTTCAATAAAGGCGCTTCCATAATATTCGCCAAAGTAAAAGTTTCAGACTCCACATCCAATATACAATCTAAAAGAATATTAATATAAATATTATATAATTGTTAAAGTTAAACAATACAATTTTCGCAATGAAGGCTTAATTACTAACGCATAAGGTCCTCCAATCGTTTCCAATGTCTCTCCTTCATAGATTTATCGGCCATCAACTCCAACAACGGGCATGTTTGATTGAAGTCGTCGATTTTATTTTTTAGATCAATGAAAGCAGGCCAATCCTTCATGCCTCTTGGTAATTTTCGACATCTAATAATTTACACAAAAGACACATGACATACATTTTCTATAACATGACTAGCGACCCTCCCCGGCTTTATACATATGAACCTTCCTCTTGAATCACTCTATCTAGTAAAAAAAACCGCATCAAGATCCGTTGTGTAGTTTTAAAGATCTAAGCATACATAGGGACAGACAGACAGCGGGACGACTTTGTTTTATACTATGTAGTAATGCACAGCAAAGAGACGTTTACATTTCAAGTGACATTTTACCACAGTCACTCACTTGTTTTGCCTACCCGGACCCCTCCACTAACACTTAAACTTTATAATTTGGTATTAAAGTTCAAATTGACTTTTAAGTATTATTACGAATGTTTTGTACGGGAATACAGAAAAGTGTTGTTTTTAGACTTTTTCAGGGAATTCCAGGCAATCTTCTCCTGATAATAACAAACGCAACAAAAAAAAGTGAAATCGGTCCAGCCGCTCACGTGTGATGGCGTGACCACGGGAAATAGGGATTCATTACATATATATATATATATATATATATATATATATATATATATATAAACAAAACTTAAATCTCAAGTAGTTCCTCGCCTTTTTATAAAAGAAAAAAAGTAAAGCCATGTCCAACTACTGGGCAAAGACCTCCGGTATACAGAGAGTATCGGGCATAGTCCACCACGCAGCCCCACAGCGGATTGGCGAACTTCATATATCTTCTTTGTTATTATTTCGATAATATGCGGGTTCCGTCACCGCTGAGCACGGGATACTTTTAATCCAACTTAATATTTCTAATCTTTTTCCAACTTTTGCAAGGTCCAAGATTAAACGAGATAAAATAATTACATAATATCGTGCCTTAGATTATCATATATATTCAGTAAATGCATTTTAGTATGAGGACTTTTCGATTGTTTAATTGATTAATTTCTATAACACGACATAATTTAAGTACACTTTACCTTAAATCAAACTCGGCCAGTTGTGCAACAATTTGCTCGATATCAATTTCAACCCATGGTGTTTCGAAATAACCATCGATAGAATTCATTACAGCGAGATACAAACTATACCTGTAAAAATATCATGATGTGTAGTTTACGTCTTTAATTTATTATAAAATGCAATTAAAACCATTGAGACATTCTAACAGTTTATTGAGCAAATTAAATTCCTTCTTTTTCTGATGAAGAATAGGGTAATCTTTCACTTCCATGCCAAAAAGCTTTTCACCGCTAGAATACATCTCAAATCGTCGCCATAAATCATCGAATCGAGCTTGGAACATAATAACCCTGAAACATGTCAAAATTTAACCTGTTAGTGGAAAAATAAATTTAAATTTGTATATTTGTTAACATAAGGTAACATTTCCTTAACATTAAAAACTTATCTGGAACTTACTATATAGATACATATGTACTATATAAATCATTACGAATACGAATTTCTGCTGTATAAATACTATAACACTCGCTTTTAAATTGTAAAATTATATAAAAGAAAATGTAAGTCTGGGTAAAGAAGAAAATTATTAAGTAAACAGAAAAGTAAAACAGGAAGTCCTTAACAGACATAATTATTTATCTATATATATCTGTCTCTCTTATTTATATATATAAGAGATTTCCACAGATAATTGACTCATCACGATATCTCTGGAACCATAAGGCGTAGAGACTTGAAATTTGGTAGGAATATTCCTTTTGCCGAGTAGAGGTCAGCTAAGAACGGATTTTACGAAATTCTACCCACAAGTGGTGTTGCGGGGGCGTTAACAATAATTATTTATATAGCAAAACAACGTTTTCTGGGTCAGCTAGTGTATATATATCGAAAAGATTGACAATAACTCATACTGATATGTGTAAGTATAGTGAAAAGTACCCTTAACCTAAGGCCAGGTATGTAAGTGGAAGAGACAAAAAAATGTATGGTGTCGAAATACGTAATATCTGCTGTCCCCTCTGTATTACAACCGAGTATTTAAATATTATTATTAAATTTACAATTATTTGTTTTATACCTATCGCTAGCCTCTCTAGCGGATAAGCCAGGTGTCATTGGGCCAAAAGCGTCGTAATCAGCATCAAACTTCAGCATATCATCCACAAATGTCTCCACGCCTTCTGTAAGTTCCTTTTGCAAGGGACCTTGCATATCCACAATCCTTTGTTGGACTTGCTGTGACTGTAACAAATTGTTAGCAATTGAATTTTTATACGAGTCTTAATACTGTGGTAGGGCCACGCAAGTCTTCGCTGTTGCATGAATGGTCTGGTTGGGGAAGTACCACGACCAGAACGCGGACACGAAACGCATCTAAAACCGGGTGTCCGTGGGCGGCTATTATCACTTAACATCAGGTGAATGGCCAGACCGCTTGACATCTATATACCTAAAAAAAATCCCTTATAACATTAGAGTAACCATAAAGAAGATGAGTGAATGCAACGCAGACATATTAAGTAATGTACTTAACATTTATCTTAGAAGACATATTTGAACTGTCCTTGTAAACAAAGTAAATAATCATACAAATAAGAGAGGCGTAAAGGACGATACTTACGGTCGTTAGCATGTTCTGGAAAGCGTAACGTAGGCCATAAACCAAATCACTGTCTTCCTTGGGTATGTCTATATTAAACTGATTAAAAGTTGCGTAACTTTCTTCAATTAAATCCAGCTCCATGTCCATTCTAAAGAAATATTTACATACTATATTTTAATCGTTTCGAGTTTTATTATGGTTGTAAATGAACAACACAATTATTACAACGTAAGCTATTCTTTCTTTTAATACAAAACATGTTTTTTACCCAATAAATTCCTCTCTGATCAGTTCGAGACACATAATGGCTACTCTAACGTCATCCAGATCTTTGATTTTCTTACTCATTGTTTTCATTCGTTCATTAATAAATTGCATAAGCTTGATAACTCTTTCCTTGTAGGATTGGCTTAGTAATTTTCCTAGTATTCTTTTCCATTCGACAGATTCAATGTGCAATGCCAGTTTTAGTTTATCTAAAATATGAATAAGCCAGCATTTTAATAACCTGAAGGCTATTGAAGTACTCGAAAAATATGTTCGCCATTGTAAAATATCAAAGACTTTACTGAACCTATTAGCATTTGGTTTGGCACTTTAGAAATAATAAAATCACGGTAACTGTAGTCCAATTATCTATGTCGTGATATATACATAAACAACAACTCTTATAAATTTTAAGAGTATTCAAGAGATTAAAAGGTTCCACTTCTCTCGATCCTCACGTATCTCTTTCGCCACATTTACACTTTCTTATTAAGACACAGAGTACCCATATATCTTGTATACTACCGTATAAATCACATTTGAGCTGAATACAAAAAAACTTACCCATGTCTATTTGTATGGAGCCAATAATATGCTTCTCGGGCAAATTAAGAACTTCCTCAGTTTGAGCTTCATAAGTTTTTAACATATCTCTTATTATTACGTTGAGCGGATTTGAATCTACAAAGGCCTGTACTTGTTGAACTCTGTCCTCGGCCCACAAATGTGAGAATCTATTATAGCCCTAAAAATATTGTCTCAGTTAAAAACAGTAGGATATTTTAGAGTTAACATATTTATTTAGCGAATATAGAAACAAATGTGCCAGTACGTAAGAATTTAAAGATTTAGACTTATGTTAAAATGTCTATACCTGTAATAATTTCTCAATATCTGGCTTATACATAAACATCATTCCTTGCAATGCCATAACCGATCGCACGATGTCTTTATGTTCAGACACCATTCGAAAATAATTTCTAATACCGATAATGCTTGATCCCGATCTGGAACCGGCTTTTGGCAAAAAAACACAATGTATGGCAATTTGTCTCATTTATAAAATAATAAACAAAAGCAACAACGATACTTGGGAAGTAAATTTTAGTCTTTCGTATCGGATCAACAATTTCTCAAAATTATTCTTAGCCTTTATTTCTTTTATTGTAATTCAAAATGCATAGGTGGAGTAACATAATTGAAGTTATTGTATTTTAACGATATAAATGAGACTCCGTGGCGCAGTTGCCAAGGCATTGGCTTCGGCGTCGGGGGTCGTGGGTTCGATCCCCACACGGTACAACTATTTACGTGACCCACAGATAGTTGTTTCGCATCTGGGTGTTTGTCCAAGTGAAATTTATGTTTGTAGAACGTCCTCACAACACAGACTTATCCTAAAGTAAGGGCAAAATAACAACAAAAAAGAAAGAAAGACAATTAAAATAAAACAAGGCCATACCGCTCATACTCCTTGTCATAACCAAAGAGGCACCCTCCAACTTCATTTTATTAATTAACGCTTGCTGTCCCCACATATACACGTTGCGATGTATGTCCATTATACAGTTCAGTACAACCTAAAAGAATTGTGTTTTATAATAAAAAGGTGAAAAACCATCGATAGTAAAAATCAAGAAAAAATTTTACCTGGGAAAACGCCGATTGTATTTCCTCCAAAGTCGGTTTAATCAAAATTCTTGGTATTTGTAAGTACATCATTGTTAACATGAGTGGCTTCAATTTCTTTTGTTCTTCAGGGTCAGTGGTCATTGTTAGAAAACTAAAAAAAAAATAATAAACTTAGCATGGATAGCACTCAAGACATTCAAGATTGTATGTCTTGCTCTCATTTTTCTCCGAAAACCTTGCATACATCAAAATGTTTATGTGTAGTTAAGCATAGTATGTGTATATTTTATGTATGTGTATATGTGAGTATACAGTATTTCTCGGTTTATGTATTCATATATTTTATAGTGATTATCACCGAAGGGTCCGCGTAAAGTGTCACTAAAAGGTGAGGAAGATCCTGGCTTATTTATTGCCTACTGCTGATTATATTTTGTGTATAACGCACTCATATTTCGGAACCGAAATCCTAACTACACTCAAGATGATGAACACTGCTTGTTAATTAGGATATTTAAGCATACGAAAAAGAATGTCGATGGAACTATATCTAAAAATGTTGATATAAAATAAGTTAACCTTGATACTGAAGCTCGTCGCCTTAATACATCTAGACTTTGTCGTGTGCATTTAATAAGGGCCTCCAAACATTTCGTGGCGAAGTATGCGAACAATTCGTTGCACTCGTTGATAGCGGGTGTGACGTCAAATCGATCTGGATTTTCTATTTCCATGAATGCTGTATGATAAAATAAATGTTTTTGAGAGAAACAAAGATGAAATGGCCTTTTAGCTAGTTTGCTCTTTTGTTGTTTATTTGTCCTACTTCGCCTTTTCTTTTTTGGCGGGTTTTCGGAAATACCCCAATAAATTGGTTGAATGTAATGTAAAAGGATAATTATTTGAATATATGATTTTTCAAGTGTAGAAATATCTCTTAAAAACTAACGTAACGTTTGGAACATAAAAACGTCAATTGTTTAATAATTGTTCAATTATTAATTCTATTAGTATAAAAAATAGACCGAAATTTATATGATATATAGGTAATGAGATATAATTTTACTATATTAACTAAACTATTATTTAAAATTGTGATGTGAAATTGAAATAATAATAATCAATTAATATTTATTAAGTGTATGAAATTACAAACCAGCATTTTCAGGAAAGACTCTTGTAGCTGACGTTACAGGTTTTAAAGCTTTTTCTGGGTCCAACCTGTGAAATATAGATTGTAACATTTTTAACTTTTAATAAAAGTGCAAAAACACACTTATATACGGTAATTTCTAATTTAAATTCTTCGGACATTGCGCAAGCCATTCGCTAAAATTGGTGTTTTAAAATTGTGACTAATTCAAATTACCAATTGTCCCTCAGATCTTGAATAGTTTTCGAGGGTACACTTCCCAGGAATTTGTTTATAAGTTCGATGACAGCTAGCTCGGCGTTCCATGACTTCTGTTGCAGATCTTTCGCTAGTTAGTTCATACATTTTAGGTTAACTATATGATATTAGGGTTATTTTTTTTATTGAATATTAATCGTATATAACGTATATCACAATATATTTCAAGCATTCTTTATCACACATACCTATTTCGTCACGTCTAACCAAATTATCGTCATAGAATAAATTAGGATCAACTGCGTTATCCGGTAAATACACCAGCATTGTTTTCGATATCGACTGCAGTATCGAATCTATGCGAGCTTCTTTCATATCCGTTACCTATAAAGTAAGATACAATACTTAATAGAAATCACTGAAATCACGACACCGAATATTGTAAGTTATTAAAAGAATAAATAATCATATTAATATAAACCTCAACAATGCTTTTTGAATTTTAATAAGGTGAAAGGACTTAATTAAATTAAAAATGCGACCAACAATTTCTTTTATTTTATATATATGCACGAATAAAACATCATTTTATAAAAGACGTGATGTTTTCAAATAGGATGTTTTAATGTAAGTTTTAGATCAACTTTAGTCCCGCGTTATTACAAGGTGACCAAGCATCTATCTACGACCCAATGGATGTTGCAGATATCCATGGGTGGTGGTCATCACAACATCAGGTAAACCAACAGCTCGCTTGCCTCCTTTCTCACATAAAAAAACCTGCTTATCGGCCGCAATCTTCTTCTGTCAAATTAGTTGTAATGAAAAATATGAAAATGTAACCTCTTTGACGAATAAATCCACTTCATCAAGAACTTGCTCAATATTATCACAGTAAGCTGGTATCTCTAAAGACGTCCACGTTATAGTGGAAAGACCGGGTTGAAAGGCTTTTTCCATTTTGATAAGTTGCGCTCGCAGTAGAGGTAAATATAACTTTGGCATGTCACTACAAAATAAACATATAAGTTTCAATTATAGCCCTATTTTTAACTGTGTATAATGATAATTGGTAGTAATTTGACTCACCGTCTTATTTTATCGTTTCTTTCTACAAGGAACTTGATACGTTCATAGTTTAAAAATATTTGCTGCTTACAATACGCAACTATTTGTGCGGCGTCAGGAACGCCTTAAATATTAAATTCATAGTAATTATAATTAAATAATTATAATTATTAGTTCCATAAATACTTGTTTTACATACAACTACAGCAGTTAAATTAATGATCAAAAAATAATATTTCATCACATTTAAAACTCCCCTCCGACTACACTTTCATAGAAAAGTATCAAAATTAAAACTTAAAAATCAATTTAAACAGTAGGTACTTTTCTCGATTACATCCTTCGTACCTTTAAAATGTATTACGATGAGTAATACATTTAATAGTAATATAAAAAACCGCAACTTACTTAAACCAAGCTGCCACATATATTCAACTTCCCTGATGCATTCCGGGATGAAAACGCTGAAATTCACCACGTACAAAGTCGTGACCGGGTGACGTATTAACAGCGGCGCTATCAACCCCAACCTCACCTATTAAAGCGTTGGCTTAATAAACTACAATTAGTTAAATAGTTTTACGTAGAAAAACGATATTAATTAAGGCATTTCAACGGAACGGTACTATCTACGCCGAGCGAAATAATTACCTGTCCCACATTTTCCGTCCACGCACTATGATATATGAATTCAAATTCCGTAAATACAATCCTCATAACGTTGTATAGTTTTATACAACGCTGTGTGTTCTGAAATCATAAAAGAAGAATGTATTTCGTGTTAAGTATTACTAGCTAAACATTTTTTTTTCTTTGAATCTTTTGCTCTTTAATGTATTACATTGTGCGTTATAACTTCATGGTGCTGTTTGAACTCCTCCATCGGCAGTTTAATGTTTTTATTGTAAAATCGTATCCATATAATGCGTCCTGCGACCGGCGGCATATTCCTTGGAAGTTCCGGATTTTCTCGCTCCTCGTTGTACCTGTGGAACAATCAAGTTAACAAGAAAAACTAAATGATTATAGAAACTGTGAGCATGTCGAAAAATATTTCTGTCTTACCTGTCCCGAATATTTTCAATTTCAGCAGTAAAATTACGAATCAAATCGTAGTATTGATCTTCAAGATACAAACAATTTAATTTTAATTTTTCGAACCGCTTAAGCAAATGTAATGCTATTTCAGTTGTAGGGCATTTGTTAACGCTCTGTAATGTGATAATGGTGTTAAAAGGAAGACAACAGACTTTTTTTAAAAAACCACACTGTACTATTTTTAATAACAAGTGTATGTATTTCCGAAAACATTTGTTGTTTTTTCTTATAGAAAACAAAACTCACGTTAATCATAAAGTTCTCCAGTAATAGCTCTTGATTAGCTACAGCATCTTTATAAATTTTGTAATCCTTGTCAAAGTCTGGTCGCCTGAAAATAATGGTAGACATAAGTAATACATAAGTCATTTATTTTCAATTAAATTAAAATTATAAATTACCTGTGATCTAAGGCATCATAAGTTTTTGTCGATATAGCTTTGAAAAATTTATTAAACATCATTGCATACTCTTCAACACCTTCCAAAGTTGTCTTATTTAGGACGTAGAACGTTATGTAAGTTTCGAATAGATCTATTATCTGTCAGAAGAGTTTTATTATTACTTTTAACTTAGTCGCTTAAGGGGAAAATGAACCTATCGAAATGAATATTCAACAGATGAATTGTACATGGTGAATCGAATAGTACACTTTTTTACATTTTAATACAATAAATTAATTACTTTTAACAGACGTTTTTGAAATGTTTCAAACTTTCCAAATATGTACATTTCTGAGCAATCGAACGGTCTCTCGTCTGCCGCCTCAATCATTTCCTTTTGTGTCTCGTCGTAGCATTCACGATAGAAACGGTAAAGGCTCAGACATAACTGTAAATAAAACGCAAACTTTGAGGAGGGACATTTTGCGCTTTTATATTTTTTTTTTACCTTTTATGCATGGCAGTCGGGAAATAATCAGTAATAGCTGCGGTGTAACTAACAATAGTGACTGTAGGCACGAGTAACAATGACTTCCGCCTGTTTAGTAAGAGTATACTTCAACTATTGACCGACAGTAACTGAGCGAGAAGCCAGTTCGTTCACTCCACAAAAAAATAACTGAACCATGCAAGTTGTATTTTACTGAATAAAACCACCCGCATATTACGGATATGCTTCCATTTACTACTGAAAAACTACCAAAAGATTTTTACAACAATCAGTAAAAATTTCAGCAAAGCAAAACTTGCCTTCGCTTTGTTAATGAAATTCTGCTTATCTTGATTCCAAATAGTTTTCGTGTCGTTATTGGTCAAATAATTCATGCACATGTTTAGAATCTGATTAGTGACCTTTACTAACAGCGTGGATATTTGCTTAGTGGTGTTATAGTAGCGCGATGTTGCAAAAATCATCCGCACAGTATAAAGTAAACCCGGTATATGTTGATGCATCGTCACTGGATCACATCTAGGGACATTATTGTTGTTAAAACAGACACAAATTGCTCCATAAACCAAAAAGTTAGAACCATCGTAAATGGATTCAAACATAGTTTCCATATAAACCTACGAAGCACACAAACACCCGTATATCATTTTAATACTACAAAGAAATGGGGCTTGTTTCATCGATAAACTTTCTTTATAAAAGTATGTGGCAAGCGGTTAATCTGATATTACATGATTACCGTTTCCAATGAACAAAACTTGCGGTCACCTCACCCCAATTACCTTACTCGATACAATGCAAAACTATTTTACCCCGTCTTCTCAGATGTAGGTACTTCACAACACATTCATGCAACAGCAGAATCTGTTGCGTGATACAAACTATACCGCAACGTGTAAAGTGCTCTTAAATATCTTTTTAAACTATCACACTGCCTTCAATAATATTTTCTATATCAATCTGTAATAACTAATATAATTAATGGATATTTTGTGACTAAACAAAATTTACCTGTACAACGGTTCGCAGTATTTCTCTAAAGCGTATAAGTACTTGACGTTATCGGAAGCTTCATTATAATAATCCGTAACTTGGTTATCTAATGATCTCCATTTCTGAATGAATTATTTTAATTAATATGAAGTTCATTACAAATTCTAAATAACAAGTAAACACTATGGATTTAAAAGAGAATTAAAAGAAGACTATATATAAATAAATGTACTAATAAATAAATAATGTAATAAGAAATGTTTTTATTATAGTTTATATTATAGATTTTGTTTTACATTGTCACATTACATGAGTGTACATATTACATAAGCACAACATCAAAATTAACAATTTCGTTCCCCCGCTCATGTACTCGAACATAGTTTGGAAGGATTGTCAGAGTTTGGAAACTTGTATGCATACATAACTAACTTGGATACTAAATTTTCATTAACAAAATAACCTCTGCAAATTATTTATTTCTAAAACAATAAAATAAATTATGCAACCTTAATAAGCTTCGACTTTGCTCGAATAAGTGTGTAAATGTACATTTGGCACGGTTCACTTTTAATATGTTCAATTATCGATGTAAAAGTCGTAAGTTGGCGTCTCCAGTAATCTAATTCCGCCAGAGGACCAATATTAGGTGGTTCACGACGAAGCTGTTGACTTTGTACCAAAACCTAGAAATTATTCAGTCGTAAATTTTAAAGTTTTTTATAGTGCTAATCTCTGCACTTAAGATCGAACATTAAAACATGTAGAAAAAGTACGAAAAGATTGTCGCCGCTGTGGAAATCGAACCCACGTCTTCGGCATTCGCGGCCTGACGCTCTAGCCACTGAGCTAAATAGTCAAAATTATACATAGACATTGTATTTTTACCATCGTAATCTGTTTCATCCATTGCTTAACAAATGTACAAATTTCTTCTAGGACAGCGGTTTTGGTTACCGCAGCTTTCATTTTATCTTGATCCGACAATTCATCCTCATACAACACATAGTTCACTTTGAATCGAGTACAGCAATCAAGGTCGATTTTTGTTTCTGTTCAAAAGAAACTCATATACCTACACAGCACTTCTGATGACATAATATTAATGTTGAAAAATGACGATACTGATAAACACAATGGATAAAATGGATGTCTGTTATATTCTACACATTGTAAATTAAGACACTATACACAGAACTTTAAAACTTTATTGCTTGGTAAAGAATAAAAATGAACTGGGAAACAAAAGAGTACGCTTAGGAAAGAAAAAAGGTAGTAGGAAAATGCTTACTCGCTAGATAATCAATAAACAGCATGATCTTTGAAACGTAAGTTGCTATAATATCTGCGCTGTTAGGGTTGGGTGGGTTTAGATCACCCCAAGCTTGGCAAGCTTTTAAAGCAGGTATATATACCCCTAACATTGTTTTATATATTCCAGATACTACATTTTCGGTTTCCTGATTTATGTCGAAAAATACTAAATAATAGTCCTGAAATAAAGTAATTTGTAAATTTGTAAATTTGTAAAAATTTGTAATTGAGTTATAGATATAAAAATCAATTCAAACATAAAACAAATGAAACTAAAAAGAAAATTATGAATTTGTGAACCTAATCTAATCTTTAAAAGTTAATAATTTTTATTATAACTAAACTAAACAACATTATTCTACTTTCTGTTAAGGTGTTGTTGTCTGAAATACATTTTACTTGTTACGATCATAATCGTTAACAAAATCACGTTTAACGATTTCAAACATTTATGAATAATTTGTCAGATTTAATCTTAATATTAAACAGACACAATAATGCATTTTTATTTTCAACTAACTTCAAATATTAATGTGGCCGTTGTTGGCGGTGTGGTGGGTGTAAATGTGAGAATGTATTATACTAGTATAAAGATTAAAATGATTTTACGTCTGCCACATTTTTCATATCAATAGCTTTGTTCTTGATTCGATACATGGCTACAGATCGACCCACCACTGGTATTGAAGATGTATCAGAGATATAAGTCCTGTCCATCCACGTTTTTTGATTCGGAACAAATCGGCCAGATTCTATAAATTAATAAATAATATCTATAAGTAACAAGTAGTGTCTCTAGGTTTAGGGGATTTATTGCATTATTCTAAGAAATTAAAAATTGAAAATCTCTTCTCTTAAACCGACTTCAAAAAAGATGGGGGTTTCTTAATTCAATTGTTTTTTTTTTTTTTTCATTTTGTAATCTCAGTACTCGTCATTAATGAACGGATTTCAAAAATTTTATTGAACTAGGTTTGGTGTAGCGAGTGAGATATTCGAAGTAGGTTTTGTTTTTTGTTAGTAAAAATCAAGTACATTGCATATCATATCGTAGCACTATCACTATCATTTAGGCCATAGCATTAGTACGACAGATTTATGAAGGAGTTTGTTAAGACATATTAGCAATTCATTTATTACATTTTGGACCTGATTATGACCATACTATTGGTATATAAATTTCTATGTAGCAGCATACTTTCCGGCAGTTTCAAGTAGATCCTACGTATTAGCCCACGATTAACACGTGTATTAATGGTCATACATGACGGCCCGATTGGCCTATTAAGACTGCCTCTTAAGCAAGAGCCACAGAGTACCCACTGGAAAAATATTGTGTTATGAACATAGTGCCTTTATCTATCTAAATAAATATGAGAGATTTCCACCGATAATTTACTCATCATGAGTTCATCTCTGGAACCATAAGGCGTAGAGACTCGAAATTTGGCAGGAATATACCTTTCGCCAAGAAGAGGTCAACTAAGAATTTTACGAAATTCCACAAAACAACGATTGCCGGATCAGCTAGTATATTTATAAAGTGTATTTACTTTTACTTACAAAAGAGAAAAATGTTTAAGTATGTTTTTCAGTTAGTTACTACCCATTGTACAAGTGTAGCTTATTTTCGGACTAGAAAACATTGTGTGAATGAAAAATGTGTCCTGAACTATTTATTAGTATATAACATAAAGAACACTGACTACTATTGGACATATTATAGTGATAAAGATGAACTATGTTGTTTAATTGTAGGGGTCTTAATATAATGTGCACTATCGCGCAAACATGTTCATAAAAATATTTTGATTATACATATAAGAAACACTTGCAATAAAAATTATTTCGAGCATACTTCGACTACGTTTTTAATGTAGATTACGTTGGCTATTCATATGTGTTCATAATTGTTTTTTTTAAAGAGTCCCCCAATTAATCTTGTATTGTTTGGAGATTCACTGACATTCTAATTATCTGCGGGCCTAACAATTTTTTTACTCGTCTGGGCATCGAATTTACAACACGCATTTGGCGAAATAACCACTTAAACTGGCGTCCGAAATGGCTTTTAGTTACTATAGATTCCTACAGCTATTTAATAGATCTTCTTCTATATTCTTAGCTTTAATACATGTGTGCATAAATCTTTATAATATAGGTTTTATAACAGTAATTTAACAATTTACCCATTTTTAAGGGAGGCAACATAGCGTCGCACAAGACAATACAATTTCTACCGCCTTCCACTACTGCACTATCCAAAATGTCGATATGGACATCGGCATCAACAACTCCCTCCTGTGAATATATATCGTATGTAAGTCATAACAATGATTAGTAAATTTATTGCCAAAGTGTAATTCGCTTAATCTACTAATCAAAAGCTTATGACAACTTTAACTAAAAGATTTACCAAGACATAATCGGAGGATTTGTTTAAAATAACAGCTGCATTCTCAAGTAAATATCTATGTTGTGTTTTTAAGCCTCCCATGCGACTGCTACGTGCTTCTTTAGCTTTGGCCTAAAATTAAAATAAAGTCACTTCGTAATAAATTGTTCGGGGAAATGAAACAATTCCATCTCTACTTGTCAAATTTATTTACTTGCTTGTCTTTATAAGACTCGTGTGCCAAGGCAAGGGTACTCATTGAAACTCTGCTTTTCTTCTGGATGTCTCTTAACCGAGAGTTGACATCCAATATAGCTTCAAGAGCTGTACGATCCACGATCACTTGCTCTTCGTCCATATCACTATCCTGCATTTGTGGTTTTTCGTCCCCGGAAACTTTTTTTACGACTTCATCAATTTTAACAGCTGTATGTTCAACATCATCCGCCCGCTGTTCAGCATCACCAGATGCTTTCGCACTTTCTGTAGGATCATTTATCTTGTCAACATTCTCAGGCTCGGTTGTATCAACATCATCAGCCATATTAACAAGAAAAAAAGTTACAAAGTAACACTAATTATACAATTAATTAGATACGAAAATTACCAGTTGTAACTATTGACAATATGTCATACAGCTAAAATTGCTTATTAGTGAATATTTGAAATATACGTTCCAAATTCATTTTTAAAATCAATGATTCTTTTCACTTTTTTTCGTTTTGTTTTTATACAGATGATAGTATAAACCTCTTTATATTAAACGATAATAGTAAATTAAGTACGTAAATTAGGCTAAGAGGACATTTTATTTTGAAAGCATTCTTATTTTATCATTATCATCATTTCTGCCTGTTTGGGTCCACTGCTGAACATAGGCGTCTTAGTTGTTGTTGGGAGCACTGTGCTCGAAGTTGTTGAGTATGTTTGCCTAGGATAGTGAGTCCGGTAAGGTAAGTCCAACTTCGACGCAGAGGTCAATCGGCGAATCCAACTCGGATGGGCAGCGTTCGAGCAACTTGGGCATATCTTCAGAGACTATTGAGGTTATTGAGCATAGTACCAAAATTCTCCAGGGATTCTGCATGATGAATATGTCGTGTTCTGACTTCATGCACTCTTCTTTCTTTATACAGTCTATTTATTATTATTCTGTGAGATGCGCTACCTCTCGGAATCACGTTGACTAAAAGTCGCTCTTTATTTAAAAATAAAAGCTCGTGAGCATATTCTTCAAAACTTGTTTTGTTAAATCAATTCCATCCTTATACATGACTGTGTATATATAAGAACTACATAGTATAAAACAAAGTCATCCCGCTGTCTGTCTGTCGCTATTTATGCTTGGATCTTTAAAACTAAGTAACAGATCTTGATGCAGTTTTTTTTTATTTGATAGAGTGATTCAAGAGGAAGATTTATATTTATAATACATTGCAGCCGTGCGAAGCCGGGGCGGGTCTCCAGTTATATTATTACGATTACGGGGTTGACGTCTTAAATGTCAACGACCCGTCGATGACATTTTAAAATGACGTGTAAAATGTTCTTTTAAATTATTAAAAATATAATTATAATTTGAAAGAAGTTTCGAATTCCAGAACTTGTATTTGAAAAACGAACGAAATTCCGAGTATAAAAGTGCCTTAGACGGCAGTTCAGTGGAGGGACTCAAGAAAGAAGGAATAGGAAGAAGTAACAGGAAGAAGAAAGTTTAAGGTGAGTGAACAGTATAGTGGACAGTGACGCGAAGTGACTAATAGAGTAAAGTCGTACGCGGTGGGTTGGTGCAGGAACGTCACTGTAAGATTGGTGCGGAACGGGAGAGTCGTCGCACCGGTGGTAGTAGTAAGGACTAGAACAGTATTAAGTTAGCCGCTGTGCACGTCTTTGTTGGCGACAATAAAGTAAACATTTAAACGACCGGCTTTCACGTAACAATATATAACATAGTTTGTAAATATTAGCGTTTTCCTTGTTCGAAATCTCTCTTTGCACCTACAGATTCAGCAGCGATTAATTTACCTAGACCACTTTCTAAAAATTATTTTCAATTCTGTTTTTAAATATCATTTATATCATTATATAATTTTATACTTTTATTTAGTGATTCGCTCTACTTCATTCTAGGAAAACACCCAAATACTTTAAATATGCAAAGAAACGTTAAATTAAAAACTCCTATTTAGAAAGAAAGAAAGAAAAATATTTATTTGGTTCATAAACGTAAACACATAAATATAAGTTTACAAGAGAAAAAAAATATTTTAAATGCTAAATATTAAAAAAAAACTTCACGAAGTTTAATAATAAAAAAAAAACTTCATGAGAGCTGATTTTCAGTGGAACCTATATATAAGAAGATAGATGGCGATACTGTCAGCTTACACAAATATCTTACAAACCAAGTAATGAAAAAGAAAAAAAGGAAACAACACGGTAAATTAATATTTAAAGGTTTTTTTAACACTTCCAAAAATAAATAGACAGTCAAAATCAGACAATCATAATAAAAAACAAACAAAGGTACACGTATCTGTGTGCGTATTTCTTGGCTTGCGCTACGTCACTTATCTGCCCGATCTTTCATATATCAAAGATTGCAGAGCTTTTTAAGTGGTTTGCTAATTTTTAAATACGTTTTTCACAACATTTTAGAAAATTAATTATATACAAATAAATAAATAGACTAGAATAACTGTGGTAAGCCTAAACAACAGTTTTCTCTATTACACGAATGGGCAGGTCTGTCTGGGTAAGTACCACAACCTCACAGATGATCGGTGTGAAGTGGAAGTCAGATACTACTGCGTCTCGTCTGGTGAGTGATGTAGTCCACCTTTTTATAAGGTGGCAAGACGTCTGCAACACTACGGGTGTTAGAAATGTTAGTGGGCGGAGATTTATCACTTAACATCAGGTGAAGCGCCATCAGGCTTACCACCTTCTCACATAAAAAGTAAAAAAAGTAGAAAATTGGTAACAAAGAAATCCATTTGAGATTTTTTTGTTTAGTGGTATTCGAAGTTCGAGGCAATTTAATAGATCACAAACAATTTATCATACACACCGTTAGAAGTAGAATATTGCCCACAAATCAGTTTGACACAATACTTGACTACTGCTACGTAGTTTATGATCTTATGCTATATATGATGTTAAATAAGTATCATCAGCTAATAGTAATATTTATGATATTTCCCTACCATCAAAAGTAAATCGTCAAAAAATACATAGAACAGAATATGGTTCCCGATTCAATCCCAAGGGGATACTTATTTCCAATAAGAAATTAAACAACAAAAATCCATTCATAGCTACAACATAGCCGAGAGATAAAACCATACAAAATCTAAATCAAACTAACGTTAACTGAAAAAATTCATTTACAATATAACATATTGTAAATTATGGTCTTAACTTATGAAAAGATTACAAAATTTACAACTGGTGTCGAGAAATTTTTCTCAAACCTACAAGATATGATTAAAAGAAATTAATTGTATATCCTAATTATTCCTAGCCCATCTGGAATTTTTATAGAGTACAATAAATAATATTTATAATAAAAATTCCTAAATTATATCTAGTTACGAAAAAAAAGGTAAGTATTTGATCGTGTTATAAATTTTTAATTATTTAATAGTAAGATTGGATCCACTATCGATTGTGGTCCAAGCCGAGGTTGAAACCTTAATCTCATTCGAATCTCCATCCACGGTTGGTTAGAGTTATCGATCTTTCATTAACAGATGTCGCGGAGATGCAGTGGAGCAGAATGGAGAGTGGGCTTTGTTTACTTCATCATTGTGCATCAGCTAAGTTGGTTCGTCTGAGTAAACGACCCGCGGAACTCTTCTGGCGAAGCTAAAAGCTATAGACTATATAATATACAGTTAGTGAGAAGTGGGTAGTCACAGCCGAAACAGCAGGCGGCAGCCGCCGAGCTAACCGCAAACAACTGTTACACAATAAACAAAAAATGTGTACAAAGTACAAATAAAACAAGTAACTGGCTTATAATTTTGACTAATTAAATATGTTCCATTTTACAAATATAATAAAAAAAGGTAGAATGTTACGGTAATTATAAATATTACGCAATGTTTTTCGAGCTTAAAAACATTTTTAATTGAAAGAAATGTCACTAACTGCAACACTACGTGTGATTAGAGTGAGATTTTGTACAAAAGCATACTATAGACTATAGAGTAACTTTGAGTCTTTGAGTTTTGTTTTGACAGTCAACAAACAACAACAAACAAAATATCAAAACTTGTCATTGGCATACAGGACAGGATAATAAAATGCCAAAAAAAAATAACAAAAGTCAAAAGTTTAGTAGAACTGAATTGGAGTGGAGGGAACTTTGAAGTAAATACAATACTTGACTAAAATAAACAGTGTAATGAATAACAATTTTCGTAGATATTAGTCCATTTGATGTTATTAATTTCATTTGAAATTACCTTATTCAAGCATTTAATGTAAGCTGAAATTAAAATCTTTGCAATGCGACGCAGCTGGAGAGGTCGCTATAAAAACAATTGGTATCGTTCTCGAGGGAGAGGTAGAGGTAATTATAATACCTCATCAATAGAAAATCGTAGCACAAATATCTCGTCTACTTCACAAGTGATATCCCACAATGTTTCGGTCGCATCATCAAGGCCCCCAGCAAACCAAGTACCTTTGGTTATACCGGTAAATTCGGGAAACAATATTTGGAAATTATATTTTCCTACAGAAGGTAATTTATTTGTCACTTGTAATTGTTAAGCTATTACTGTAATATATTATATATTTAAAACTTTCAGAAATTTTAATATATTTACTAGTACTATTTTGTTAAGAGATGAAAAAAAAAATTTCAAAAATGTAATTTTCAGAACAATCTACTAACCCTGTTATAATGAAAAACATAAAATGTTTTGAATCATTTATAATTAAAAATAGAAGCTTATTTGATTTGGAAAAAATTGACCAATCCCGCAGTGTACCCCTTGATCTGCAAATGATAATTGATGATATAGATTTCAAAAATGAATGGCCTACATTTCAAAATGACTTATTTGAAAGGCCTGAAAACACTTTGCGGCTGCTAGAATTCTGCTTACATGAGGTATGTTAATACATTTCCTTCAAATTTATGTACTTTGATGTCAAATAACAATTGATTAATAAAAACAATGATTCTCAACATTCTTATCTTTGAACTTTTCTAGAATTTGAAGTGTGAATCCAAAGTAAAAGTCAGATTATTAAACCATCATCCTGTTATACCTATAGCAAATTTGAAAGTAAACTACTTTGGTAAGACATTTTTTTATTCATAAGCAAATAATTTATTAAAAACGAAACTTGGTTCTATGTCTCATCTAAAACTTATAGTATAATAATAAGATCCTTGCATGAAAATTATGTGTTTTCCTTTTGTTGTAGGAAAATTGGTAACTATTAAAGGTACAGTTATTAGAGTAGGAAGTGTGGGCCTAATTTGCACATCTATGGCATTTGAGTGCTCTAGCTGCCACAGCATACAAGCTGTCATACAACCTCAAGGTATATTTACAGGTAAGGATAATTTTTTCTTCAACTTTTGTTTGAAAACCAATAACAATCCATAACCCTACTATGGCAATTGATAAGAGATATGACCAAGGCTTAAGTAGAAATCCTTACTTAACCTTACTAATATTATAAAAGCGAAAGTATGTATGGATGGATGTTTGTTACTCTTTCATGCAAATGCTACTAAATGGATATTAATGAAACTGTACAATAATATAGCTTATACATCAGAGTAAAACATAGGCCATAATTTATATACATATTTTTATGTATATCTGTCTTTCTGTTTGAATGTTACGCCTTCAACCTATTCTACGCAGACATTGTTGCGTGCAGCAGCTAGTAATATTATAAATGTGAAAGTTTGTATGTATGGATGGATGTTTGTTACTCTTTCACACAAAAACTATTAGATTTTAATGAAACTTTACAATGATATAGCTTATACATCAGAATAACACATAGGCTATAATTTATAAAGATATTGTGTGAATTGTCCAAAATATAGGTAGTGATAAGTATCAACTAAGTAGGAAAAAATTCAGCCATCTGCAAGATATTCTGGTGTAAAGAAAACTCATTGTTAATTCCATTTGGCCGCGGGGGTGAAGCCGCAGTTAACAGCTAGTGTTACATAATCTTATCCTTTAAACGAGCAATTCTTGTGTATATTTAATCGGAATCTCGGAATCGGCTCCAGCCATTTTCATGAAATTTAGTATGTGCGTAGATTCAGGGGCGAAAAATCGATCTAGCTAGGTTTCATTTTTAGAAAATGCACTTTTATCCCTGTTTTCAGGGGATGAAAAATATCATTCGAATATGACAGTAAATTTCGCCGAAAAATAAAATGTTATAATAGCTCGGTCGGTAATCGGGCGACCCCAAAACAGACGGCCGGGTTCGTATCACGATCATTTACACACTTATTTTTTTTACTTTTTTTTCTATACCAGATCATTTTCTTTATTGTTTATTTTTTTAATTTCCAAAATACATAATTTACCAAAAAAAAATATATACATAATTTACCATAAGGTCCTCCAGGTACTATTTTTAATGCTTGATAAAAACTACTCCACTCTTTTATTCCATTTATTTCAGGTATGGAATTGCATTGCTTAGCCATACATTATATAAATTTACTAGCCTTTTTATCCGATTATGGTGTCAACAGATGCTATACTGTAGTTGTTGCAGTTGCACAAATGGGTAGGGTCTTCAAGTAGGGTCTAATCAAAAAATATCACACACTCACAGAATATTGATGTGAAGTAAAAGTATTACACTTATGCATTTTCTCAGGTGATGTCAGGAGGAAGCCTGCAAAACTTCTTAAAATAAATATTAATACACAACATACATACTTTTAACAAAATATAATTATTCCAAAAAATATTTTTAACTTCAATCATATCAATTTTAGGTTTTATAGTGCTAATCTCTGCACTTAAGATTGAACATTAAAACATGTAGAAAAAGTACGAAATGATTGTCGCCGCTGTGGCTATCAGCCGTTTAGCTCAGTGGCTAGAGCGTCAGGCCGCGAATGCCGAAGACGTGGGTTCGATTCTACATGTTTTAATGTTCAATCATATCAGTGAAACAATTTTTATTCTAACTTTCAGCACCAAATTTTTGTCAAAGTTGTCAAAGTGGTCACAAGTTTGAACCGCTCCAGTCTTCACCATTCACCAACACAACTGATTGGCAAGTGGCTAAGATACAAGAAATTCAGTCTCAGGTCACTATACGGTCGGTATTAGGCACTTAAGTCATACATGCATCACAATGTATTTTTTTATTTAAGGGGGTGACTGGAACAATTCCTAGAAGTGTTGAAGTAGAATTACAGGGTGACCTGGTTAGCACCGCATGCCCTGGCGATGTGCTCTCTGTTACCGGAATTGTTCAGGTACATGGTTAGCTGTTACGTTCTGTTGTGTTTTTTTAGTGAGGTTTTTGGTTTGTATGTTCCTTTGAACTTTGTGGGAATAACAGGTGCGGGGGGAAAGCAAAGGAGGCGAGGATGGTAAAAGGGCTGCGAGGTTGCTGCAGTTGTATATTGAGGCAGTGTCAATTCACAGTCAGAGAAATCTCAGCAACCCAAGTCTGGCATTCACTTTGAAAGATTATTATGCTATACAGGTGAGTATATTACGATAATATGTATTTATTTGTAAAAAAAATTATTTGTAAAGAAATTTTTAAAAATGTTATCAGTCACTTAGTCTTCTTTCTCCTACCCCTATCCCATCATGGTGTGGTGGGCACATGATGTAGAACTTGTTAATGGTATTGGCTATGTTTTTACAGCCAGCCCAAATATGTAACAATTATCCCTGGGTGATAAAAATACTTGTCAATGCCCTGTATGGGATCGAGCCTACAGCCCGCGGCGTTAAAACCAATAGCTTAAGCGAATGCAGTACAAAGTCATTACTTAGTACCCATCCCATAGTATCTACAACTTTTAGCTTAGTTTGCAACTAGATAAGTTCGCGTAAAACATTCCTGTTCATTAATGTTAATTTAAACACTGGAAAGTTTGAAAGTACAATAAATATTCATCATGGTAAGTACATGACAACTTCTTATGCTTACAGGAAATCCATGCATCCGAAGATGTGTTCCGACTTTTAGTGCACTCTTTGTGTCCAGCGATTTTCGGACACGAGATGGTGAAAGCCGGTCTCATTCTGGGCCTACTGGGTGGAACCGAGGGTGATGGGGCGACCAGGCCTAACCCTCACGTGTTGGTCGTCGGCGATCCGGGTCTCGGGAAGTCTCAGCTGCTACAAGCCGCAGCTCATGCCGCTCCAAGAGGTAATTTGTTCGGAAGGTATTACAAAACAATAGTTCTTTATAGCTTCATTTAAAAGCAAGGCAAACCCATGCCTTGTTTGCCTTGCTTTTAAATGAAGCATGTAACTTTAGTTACTTCATTTAGCAGAAAGTATAAATAAAATTAAATTATAAATAATTCAATTTAACTATCAACCCTACTTTAGTTTACCAAGCTTGTGATACTCCTGCTGAATGTTCTACTTCGACTTAAGTTGCTGGGTGGCGGGATGCTACTAAAATAAATACCAAAATAATTTAAAAATTATTGTCGTTATTAATTATTATTGCGGTGAGCGTTTTTATTTTTCTCTTTTTTTTATTCAACATTAGTTGGCTCACCTGATGTTAAGTGTTACCCGCGGCCATTGGATGACCACATCATGGGGTTGTAGTTGCATTACCATACTCGTAAATGAGCCAGCCGAACGGGCTTTATGACCGAAGTGACCGGCAAATCAATGGAAACCTTAGCAGTATTACAGCAAATCAAATATCGCACACGTGCATGCGTGTAGGTATGTACAAGTATGCGCATGTAGTGTCGGTTGGTGGTTAGACGGAGACCGAAGCAATATTGCAGCAAATCAAATACCGCGTGCAACTGTATGTTTATGTGTGTGTGTGTGCAGGTGTGTATGTGTGCGGCGCGGCTGCGTCGGGCGGCGGGCTGACCGTGTCGCTGGGCCGCGAGGCTGGCGGTGACTTCGCCCTCGAGGCCGGCGCCCTGGTGCTCGCCGACCGCGGCGTCTGCTGCCTCGACGAGCTGGACAAGGTGACGTTTTATTCGTTGATATTGCTTTGATTTTGTTTGGATGTTGGATGAAAATTTTAAAATTATTTCTTCAAACAATCGACGTTTCTTATGATGTACATAGACAGCCGTCGTGCATATTGGCAATCTGTCAAGTCTACAGACTCAGATAGTTTTGCGAAAAAAAAGGTATATGTATGAGGCCCTGGCTGGCAAGCTATTAAAAAAATTTTTAATATTAATAATAAAAAAACCAATGTCGAATTTTAAGTATCCCTCCCACATTATTTGAGAGTCAAATTGAATTATAGTGTCTCATATAAAAATGGATCTGCATCGGGGACATTTTCGCGCGATGATTTTTCACGATTTCAAATGTAGCTTAAAATCGGACAAGTCGTTAGATCCACTTCAAATGGCATTTATGGATGAAGAACATTGAATAGCAACGATCTACCGTTGGCATAGGATGAACAAAGAAGTGGTCATGTGTTCACGGGTGACCAATACTTTTTGCAGATGACCGCCCACCACAGCAGCTTGCTGGAGGCGATGGAGCAGCAGCGCGTGAGTGTCGCGAAGGGCGGCGTGGTCTGCAGCCTGGCAGCGCGGGCCACACTCCTGGCGGCGGCCAACCCCGCCGGAGGCTCCTACAACAGGTGCACTGGTTGCAATGCAAAAATAAATAATAAATTTATTCGCATAAACATGGTACTTAATACGCATGGCTGCTTACATTACTCTACGGCATCTTTTTTGTCTAAATATCAAATCTGGATATTAAATCACATTTACTTACTCTTGTATTTCATGGTGGAAATAACATAAAATTGATCATTTCAGAGCAAAAACTGTCACTGAAAACCTGAAGCTCAATTCGGCTTTGTTGTCAAGATTTGATTTAGTGTTCATACTCCTTGATCAACCTGATGAGGTTTGTAACTGTATTTTTTATTATCCTTTGCTCAGGTTTAGATTGAATTGTTGTGATAATAATTAAAAATTACAAACGAATTCTGTAGAAAATCGACGCCATGTTGTCGGAGCACGTATTAGCCATGCACGCAGGTGCAAAAGGAAAACGAACCGCTAAGTTAAACGAAGTAAATGGCGGCATTAACTCCAAAGCGAATGAAGAAGATATCCCCCTCAGGTGATTATATTAGTTATATATAGTATAATAGATATTAGGAAGGATTTATTCATTTGAACACCTAGTTAGTCAATGTGGGTCAAGATGAAAAAAAAATTGAAGTAAAAATAAGAAAATGTTCTCATCAATCATTTTTATTACTTAATTTCGTTTCGTGAAATTAACTAATAGATTTTTATTGTCACAAGGTGAAAGTTTACAATCCATAAACAGTGGTTAAAGTAATTGTTTGCCTATGTCCAGCAGTGGTCTTGAACAGACTGAAATGATGATGATGAAAAGTAAGCACATTAAAATGTTTAAATTCACATGAATTTGAGAAATCTTAAAAATTGATTGTGTCAGCTTAACATTGTCTATACAAGCTCTGACATCTTTTAAACCTAACAGAACAGACATATTAGATCAGGTCATTACATTACAACTAACATCAGATGACAAAAAATTATACCTACAATTTATCTAGTTGATTGCTAATAGAATTTTCAGATGTGACCGACAGTGTTTAAAGGAATAATTTAAAGGTTATTTGATTTTACAAACATAATATCTAATTAGTCAAGGTCTTATTGTGACCTCACTTACCAACATTAAACATAAAAAATACTTTACTCTAGGCAATCCACCTCTGGTCACATAAATGTTGCGTTAATATTGTTAACGAAATAACACAAATTAATTTATTTTTTGGTAGGTCCACCCAACAGTTCTCTGTTACACAAATGAGCAGGTCCAGTTAAGTATCACTTCTGCATTTCATCTGGTGAGTGAGGCAGCCGGGGCCTACTTTATTATATAACCCTTCCAGTGATGACAATGTCAATGTGCAGCGGTTATCACTTACATCAGGTGAACTGCCATTTTGTTTCCCACATCCTCACATTTAAAAAAAATACGTGCTGGTCTCTGCACTTAAAATAAAATTTTAATCCAGAAAACGAAGGTTCGAATTTTGGCAGGGGCGAAAAATTTTGCGATAGTTTTTTATCTACAAATTATTTAAAATAACTTAATCAATTTGCAGTAAAAGATTACAACTAAAGCCAGGCGAGGTGATCGACTCGCTGCCGTTGGCGCTGCTCCGGAAATACGTCGCGTACGCAAGACGATACGTGCACCCGAAGCTGAGCGCGGAAGCGGCGAGCACGCTGCAGAACTTCTATCTGGAACTGCGCCACAACCACCAAGGGGCGTGCAATGATGGCACCCCTATTACCACGCGACAGCTAGAAGCCAGCATTCGCCTCACCCAGGTAGTTTTGGTGAAACAAAAAAATAATGTTTCTTTTTTTTTTACATTATTTTACCCATTATTAAACTGTGGCGTGAATTTGTGCCTACCACAAGGTATTAAAATATTTTAAACCCTATATTTTTATAATTAATTAAAGGCACGAGCGAGAGCAGATCTGCGTGAGGAAGCGACTGCAAAAGATGCTAGTGACGTCATCACCTTAATAAAGCATAGCTTGGTGGACACATTCAGTGATGAATTTGGCAACATTGAATTGTCCAGATCGATAAATGGCTCTGGTATAAGTTCTAGAAGCAAGGTATGTTTATATTGACAATAAGGTTCTAGATTTCTATAATGTAGAAGAACAGAAGTTTGTAATTTTGACTTCAGTTGTTATATCATAAGTTATTATTAATGTATTTATAATGTTAAATTATTGAGCAAAATGTTAAATTATTGACCAATGACCATTATGTTACAGCTGAAAAAGTTTTTGGATGTACTAACAAGACATTCACATCAGATGGGTAAGGATATTTTCACACGAAAAGAAATGATTCAGATTCATAAGGCAGCAGGTATTGCTGGAGATCCCAATGATCTTATAGAAGCCATGCATGTACATTCTTACCTTCTTCTCAAAGGATCTAGCACATACCAATTGATTGCTATTTAATGGTCTGTTAATTGTGTTATCAGAAAATAAATAAATAAATTTAAAATTTTATTTTAATCTTTTTTAAATAATTTTTAAACTGAAATGTACACCTGTGAGAAAACATGCATGCAGAAATACATACGTAATTCAGTACTTTGGAAATAAATTCATCAAATTATTTCAAAAATGAAATCTAAACAATGTCTTTTATTAAGACACTGGTACATTTTGAGGTAAAGACGATGTACAATGTGATCTCATCGAAATTATCAGACAATTTAAAAATATGAGTCTCCATTTAAATAAATCCAAATGTGAACATATTGTTTCTGAAAACATTCTTTTTCCGACAAAATTATTTTGACCCAAAATTTTAGATCTATCATACCAAGAATTAAGTAGTCCGTACCGATTCACTTTACCTCTTAGGTGCTCCTTTGTTAATTCCAAGTTTAGAACCTCTTTTAAAATTAAAATTAAATAAAATTTTAGATCATGTTAAATTCTTTTTACTAAATTCGCATATTGCGCTTACTATTTTGCGAAATTCTAATCTTGTACCTAATTGTTCGTTAGTAACTTAACTTACCCTTACACATTTTTGAACGAAATGATTTTCATCTTAAATCATCTAGAAAAAATTCTAAATTTAACTGTTAATGAATTAAGCTGGACTCAAGCTACGTTGCCGATTCGTTTTGGTGGTATTGGTGTAAGAAACAATTCTAGTGTCGCTCTATCTACCTTCCGTGCTTCCGTACTAATAGCGTAAAGAATTTATGTAATAATATCCTTAATCACAATTGAGAACTTTCCTATGCCTTCTCCTATGCCGAGAAGGCATAGGAAAGGAGGACGTCTTGGTTGTCTATCTGCTCCAAGTAAAATATCCCATTGGAAGTAAACCTATAAAAACAGTGGGATGTTCCTTTGCTGCAGAAAGTACAGAACGATATGTTTCAATCTTAAGAAAGTAATTTAGAGCATGCCCGTTTTCTAGGTGTCTCATCTAAAGAATGGAGTTATGAAAGCTTACGTATTGCTATAGGAATCTGTCTGGGGGCACCAACTTGCCAACTACACCTTGTGGTGTCAATGTAGAAATTTGTTCCACTGGCTTTCTTGTCAAAAAAGTCCTGGAGAGTCATCTGTAAGGCTATTGTTTCCATCAATGTGCCATCTATTTTAGAGCCCTGATAGAAAACTATTTGTGAACTTTTCTGTTGAGTGATGTTACTGGGGCCTACTGTATTAAAAAGTTGGCCATGCATGGGATACAGTTAGCGCTTAAAACCAAATGAACTGCCACTCTCTTGCCACTTTTATGCGTTAAGAAAGATTCAACAATAATTTCAGTGCATTTTTTTTTTATTCACAACTGGCCAGCGCTTGACTGCCATCCCACCTAATGGTAAGTGGCGATACAGCCGTTGATAGTAAGCGCGCTATCTGAGTAAAAACTTATTCACTCTTTCCTTGAAGACACCAGAAAGATGGACAGTATAAACTATCGACAGTTTAAATTATAACTATGAAACACTATTAATAAGCATTAATGTAAAAACATTCTATTAACATGCATGCTATAGCACATGTACTAATTTATGCAAAGGGCTCACTTAAAGGCTGGTAACACATCCATAACTGTACATGTGTGTCAAATGTTGATAGGTGACAGAAATTACCTAGCATCAGGTAACCACCATCACATCAAAAGTATTAAGCAGTGACTAAAGCCCATTTAACTCTTAACATGTAGGCTAGCTAGTAGTTGATGGTTGTTGTCAGAAGAGGGTTTCTATAAATGTTTGTATTGGCTTATTTTAAAACAATTATTGTAATTTGTAAAATAAGTTTATTTTATACAAAAGTATTATAAATAAATTATGAATACATTTAAAGCATAAGCAACACAACCAGAATTTATTATACTATGTACTTAATATGAATTAAAAATAAGAGGAACTTTTTCTGATTACCATTCAATTTTTTATTTTACAGAGATAATCATTTTGTCAACAAACCTACTCATCATTCCTTTCTACTTTTAAAATGCCTCCCCTTGAAGGAACATCTGCCAATGCCATGGATACATGACAACAACAGTATAATGAGATGCTTAATAATAAAGAATTTACTAGGGATGGATTTATAAAACATTCAAAGAATAAATTTCCTATTTCTGTCCCAGCAAATAGATAAAAATTAGAAATAGCAGATAATGCTAATAATGGTGTACATAACAGTGCAATAAAGCATGCCTCCATTTTATCAGTCTTTAAAATATTTGTCTTGAACCATTGATAGTTCTTGTGTTTTGATACTTCTTTACCCACATATTCTAGTGTAATACCGAAATAGTTTAATACCGACCAAAGGAATATGTTCCAAACTGTACCATGCCACATAAAGATAAACACAAAAGTGGCAAGTGAAGCAGTAAGTTTATACAGCACCTTTGGCAGTTTGTATGATCTAGAAATTATAACAAGTCCTGGTTTGTAAATGTATCTGTAAATAAACAAATTTATTTAATGAAGTAAGTACTATTCACATGCATATAGTGTAATAACGTTGTAAATACTCACTTTACAAGAAATTTATAGAGCCCAACATCAAAGTGTCTCCACATTTGTGAATAGATATGAATTCTAGCAATGCATCTTGGCATTGGAGGAGGTTCTATATTGTCCAGTACTGCAAAAGCTGTTGTGGTACCATATGATATAACATATTTCATATGAAATTCTAAACCCATCCACAGGCCACCTCCACATAAAGCTATTGTAGGCAGTTTCCGTATAAGCTGAAAACAACAGTTATATTAAGTATTATTTCTATTGCATAAGCTTAGGAAATCAAAATATCAAATCATACCTCCATGTCATCTTGCATAGCAAAAAAATAAATGTAATGAAATATGATGTCTAAGATAAATGTATATACTTTGAATATAAACACATCATATATAAATCTTTTCAACCTCTGAACTAAGTTTTCATTCTTGGCATTAAAGCTCTTTTCAAATTCCTCATAAAGTATTACTGGTCCAATGTATAACAGAGGTAAATATAAAACATAACTTAACATATTTACAATATTATTCCAAAAGCAATGTTCTTTGTACTTTTCCTTTGTCTCCAAATAGTCAATAGAATAACTAATACATCTTAATTCAATCCATGCAACGCTAAAGAGGATAAGATAAACTTCTTCATCCTGAAGCTTTTCTTCATGATCCAAAAAATTCCAGAAAAATAATTTGTACTTCAAGGAATTGTAGCTAGCAAGGAGGAAAATACTAGCTATCCAGATAGTTTGCTTTTTTCCACCCAAAAATATAATACAAGAATATAGTAGTGGCTGAATTATTAATATTATCATTTGTCGGATACCCATATTAGAAATCATGAAAATTACACTTGATATTATGTACCAATGTTTCAATATAGGTAATGACAATCTCCTTATCATCTCAGATATGAAAAACTGAAAAATTAAGTAGTTAAACGAAGTATGTATAAAATATTTCCAACTACTCCATTCAATATCTGACACATCTTTGTATCGATGTATTAAACTCCAACCAGGTTGAAGATCTTTAAGAGAACGCACAAGCTCTTGATTATGATCTAATATTTCTGAAAAAATTATGAAAAGCGTCAAAAAAACATAAATAAGTTTTAAATTTATAGGATTCGGTTTTTGTACAAATCATACCTGTCTGGGCTTTAAATAATGTGAATAAGGAATAAAAATTCGCACCAATCCAAACGCAAAAACATGAAAAAAGTTCCACTGAATTTAATTTACTCCTCATTTTTAATTATTTCAATAATTTTATGTCAATATTTATTATAATAACTTATCTATTATCCATTGCAACTCAATTTTACCGGCGATTCACATCGTCAACATCAAACAATAAATTATAAAATTAAATACGTCACAGCATAGGTAATCTAAAGAACAAAATAGGTGTCAAAAGTCAAAACATTCATTTAAAAATTAAATGAAGTTTATCTAACAATAAAGACCCATAAAAAATTCTATCAAGAATACACATTAATTATCAGAACTTTCTCTTCTTCAATATATAAATCTATATAAGCGGATAGGTCTCTTATAAATGTCAATTGTTGTATATTTATACATAATATGTATTTTTAATATTATTGTATAACCTCCCAACATTTTTATTTGACTTTGTACCAAAATATTTTTATTCTCTTTGAAAAATGCTACAAAATGAGGTTATTTTGAACCTGTTACTCTATTTTCAATTTTAATGTGTCTCACTGTGCCTTTTATTGTACTTATCAACAGCTGTAGGAGTTACTTATGTATGGTAAATAAATTTTAAAAATGGTTGGAAGCTGCGTGGCACCTACATCAGAATGTGCTACCGGTGGCCGACACCGCCCGCATAATAGTGGGCGGCTGGACAGGTTTCGTAGCACCCCAACCTGCCGAGCGACGCAGGTCCTCTCGGGACATGGGGGGTTTCGGCAGATACTTGTCGTACGTACCGGGGAGGAACCCACACTGGAATGCTTTTATCGCGACATATGTGCCGAAGAATGGACCCAATACGCGTTAGAGGTAGTGGGTGTCAGCTTAGTGGAAACAGCGCCGAGAGCTGACAGCTGTCGTGGGGCCTGACCTGTCGCTTCCCGCCTGGTATGTTCCATGGCAGCGAGAGATCGGGTGCTATCCTTGTATTTCGCGAGGAAGTAATCAGGCGGAATGAAGCTGCAGAGAGAGGAAAGAAGGCAACTGCCACCCTGGAAATCCGCCGCCGGAGATGAGGACGCAGGAGGCTGGCCAACGATGAGCGTGTACTAACATTCCCCTCTGATAGCCCACTAGCAGATGTGGAATGATTCAGTGTCTTGTCAATGGCACCGGCTCGGCACCATGTGGCTGAAGTGGGTGTTCTAACATCCGGAGAGAGAAGGCCTGCGAAGGCCAGTCGCGCCGGGATTCGCGGAAGATTTCATTTAGGTCTGCCCATGTTCCTAGCAAAGGCGACAAGGAAGGTGCAATTTAGAGCATCGAACATTGCTTAAAATGTTAAAAAAACAAGGCATCGGTGTGGCAATCAGTCGTTTAGCTTAGCGTTTAAGGCTGCTGTGCGCGAATGCGGAACAAGTGGATTCGATTCCCGAACCGGCGAAGAACTTATCGTTGTTCTACCATCATTCCCTCAATCCCCATCATCCTATTGTTAGGCCTTTTCCTACCTTGTTTACATATTAGGTATTTCTACTTGGCTATATCAATTTCTGGAACGTTTGACATATTATGATAAAATCAACATTTTGAAATGTGCAAATCACTGTCAAGTGTCAGCTAAAGCATTCTTCTTCTTCTTTTTATTAATGGCTTGCTTTGTGAGTTATCACAATTACGCCAATGTCAAGTTGTTCTTAAAATTCTCAATTTTATAATATTCACATTAAAATTGTAATAGGCAAATAAAAACTTCAAAAATCCATCATCCCAGCTAAAGCATGTTAACACTTAACTGTCCAGTCACTGACATGACATTGGCAGAATTCTTTTAAGAGAGGCCATTAATCAAAGAAGAAGAAGAACTGTCCAGTCCGTACCTACAACCGTACCGTACCCTATATCTTATGTAATTTTACTAATAGTTGTAACACTAAGTTGTGAACTTAGCATAATAATTACAATCTTATTTTCTTTGTTCTAGGTAATTGCCATAATTATTTAAATTTGTTTAGATATTCTATATATAAAAATATACATATTAAATAATCATAAAATCATTCTCTTCATCATTTCATTATAAAAGCTAGGCAAAAATAAACTACTCGAACATATTCTTGATAATTGAAACTATTTGTTTCTTTACCATTATTGTGTCATTGGCGATATCCTAAGGACCGCCAACCGACTTAGAAGAAGAAAAAGGACCGCACAGTCCATTAAAATCCGATGAGTTTCGGTAGCAGTTTTACATAATAAGAGTAATGAAGTGAAACTCTCAGCAAAAATACTTTTTCTTTGAAGTTTTGACATCTTTAATGGAGTGTTGTAGTTTACGGTCAATATAATATAATAATAATGGCGATTACATTCTAATGACAGCTGCTTCACAATAAATATATTACCGCCGGTACGAACAGAATACCGGTAAGAACAGTATTAATTAAGCAAAGTGTTCTTAAACGCTACAAATTAATTACAACTCCTGTTGTAATAATAATATTGATGAGTTTTGAATGATTAAACAACTTTAATAAGAACTTTTCATCAATATTGATTAGACGTCAATGGATAAAATATATTATTATGTTATATTATAGAGATTTACCGTCAGCCGAATCCAATAGTAATAAAACACCCTTTTTTCCCCTCTTCAAAATAAAAATTAACTTGCATCTTATGAAGTGCTTATGGTGTTGATGCTAGCACCCAACCATATTCGCCATTTTTTTTAAATATTAAACCTTTGATTATTTTAAAATTTACAAAAACCCCAAAAGTTTTTTTTTAATATAAAATATGATGCAAGCATTTAAATAAGTACATAGGAACTTAAGGCATTCCCTTAAGATAAATTTGCGGAATGCTGCATGGACGTAACCGTGACACTCGGAGAGTGATGATGTAAGCGTTGTTGATCTTGCCATGTAAATTGAACGAGTTACGTACGAACACTTCAGTCTTTTCATTCAATCTGCTCAGGAGGAACCGTTGTGTAGTTAAGTGAGTGATTTCCACACTTCACAGCTGTTAAGACGATTTGTGAAGTCCCCTCCAAAGGGCTATTAGTTGTAACTCTTTATTACTTGAGTTAAGTTATGTAAAGAGATTATTTTGTATTTGGGTTTGAAGTGTTACTAGAATGGAAACATGTTCGCGAGCTGCTTTTATGGCCATTTTACTTTTTTTACAGCTAGAAATTTGTAAGTATCTCTTTGTTTTTAATCATTTAATTATGAATTCAGATTAGAGGAGGTAAATAGGTCAATGACACATTATCAAAACAGTTATTTCTTATACACATATTGCTAAATGTCTATAATACTTCCCTAACATAATTTGTAGAAATATTATAGATGTTCCACAATTTGAATAATAATTTATTCCATAGTTTAGTCCGTAGTTGAAATTGTTAAGAGTTACTGTGTGTATGATATTTGAAAGCAATCGAAGAAAACTTCCTTCGCACAAATTGGAACCGTTACTTTGGTTAATTACAAAACATTTTTGTTTACAGGCATAAACAAAGTGCAACGCTATAACACCAATATAGATTTTTTACTACATGAAGCTGGTGGGACCGTAACACCCCCTAAGAAGGGTTATGAAGAAGAATTCCCCTCGTTAAAACCGTCATCCACAACATTGCAACGACCAAAAACGACAACAAGTTTAAATGGTCATCCGGGAACCACTCCAAAACCGCAGTCACCGAAGAGGGATTACGTGGCACCGCAATATCCGACGCCTAAACCCATTCAAAATCCCGACGTGCTAAAAACAACCCTGCCCCAGAATAATATTACCCCCTCCCCCAACAATAACGGAAAAGCTGCACCTAAGCCCCCGTCATCGCCGAAAAGGGACTATGTCGCACCGCAGTTGCCAACTCTAAAACCGATGCCGGACAATAGTAACAAGCCTAACAATGGCAATGTTAAAGACCTGATAAACTTCTACGATAACATTAACAAAGACAACAATAATAAAAAACCAAGTTACAGTTCGGCGTTGGCGGGATCAACATCGGGAACGCCTAGCACAGCGCGTATTACGGTCCCGACGCAAAAACCCACACAGCCCACTCCCAAGCCTCCAAGTTTCAGCTCCGTCGTAATTGGTACAACTAAACAGCATACAACTAATCCCACACCGGCTTCACCTGTTCCGAAACCAAGTTCACCAAACAGTGGGAAAAATAAGCAACCGACAAGTAGTCCCGTTTTGCCTAGTTCTATTGTTAACAATAAGAATACAAATCAAGGCGGCTCAAAACTCGCTAGCGATACCGAATTGCAAACAATCAGTGAAGAACTTTTGAGGAAGGATAGCAATAACGCGGCGAAATACGTAACAATCAACTATCAGGATAAGACAACGTCTCAGTCAAAAGAAGATAAAGCGCCACAGCCGTAAGTCTGTTTACAAATATTTAGGTATCTATTTTGGCTTAGTGCGGAAATAAAATATAAAATGAACGCCAATCAAATAATTGACGTTACATATCAAAGTAACGTCGCAAAGGTGGCCTTATTTTAAAATTTCCTTTAGCCTTCATTCTAAATTGAAGTTTAATGTTTCCTTAAAACCAATCCTGGAGGGATTGGTTTTAAGGAAACATTAAAATCCTCCATCCCATACTTATAATAAAACACGATGTCTCTCCATTAGTGTATCCGTTTTCAAGCTTAAAACTCTTTATTATATATCTATTTATATAAATAGTACCTGGAGGACCGAGCTTTGCTCGGTTTGTTTTGTTTTTCTATTCTAATTATATTAATTATATTTGGATTTTAATTACATTTAGATACAAATTACTGGGTAATGAAATATGCATAATATTTTTCGATCTTACCGACGTAATATAAGAAAATATGAACTGGTGTTTTACACAAAAGAAAGAACTTTAAAAAAAGGGAAAAAATAACAAAATCATCTGGATCGACAAAAAATAAAAATAAGGAAAGCAATGATCTGGAATCGAAAAAAATAAGTGTGTAAACGATCGTGACACGAACCACGGCCTTCTGTTTCTGGGTCGCTCGATGACCGATCGAACTATTATAACATTTTTCTTTCGGTGAAATTTACCGTCGTATTCGAATGATATTTTTCATTCCCTGAAAACTGGGATAAAACGACATTTTCTAAAAATGAAACCTATATTTTCTAAAAAAATGAACCTCGATTTTTCGCCCCTGAAATTTCATGAAAATCGCTGGAGCCGTTTGTATATATATACAAGAATTGCTCGTTTAAGGGTATAAGATTAATTTTTTTATACTTCTTAAACAATTTATCTGGCTAGGATTTCGAATACATTTAGTTACCTACGACGGTCAAATAAAAGCGCAGTCGAGGCAACAAGAGCTGCGGAAGGAGCTTGCTTTATTAGTGAATGAATGTACTGAATATGTAATTTCTCAATAGACACTGGATACCATAAAACTGAATATGGCGCATAAAGAAATTGGTATGCTAAAAATAACATCCACTACCTAAATTTTTAAAGCTGTATTATGTAGCTGTTTGGCCGTTTTGATATGTCTTATCTGACGTGTCTTGTTTGCAGATTGCTGACTATAGCATCAGACGCTTGGAATATTCCAACTGTGCAAAAGTTTTTGCCGCTCCTAGACAACTACGAGAGAGATACATTAGTAAACGAATATGTGACGTCACAGGTAAGGAAAGCTCCACAAAACTATTTTAAGGAAAAGAGGTATCTTCTATCTAAATGACAAACATGTTTAAAAATATATGTTTATTCTGTAATAATAATTCACATGAGCAAAACAAAAGACGTATCAATGCCGAGTATCTAGGCGTGATGCTAGATTAATAACTCACATAGATGTGGGCCGACGATATCCTAAGAGTCACGGACAACCGATGGATGCAAACAGCAGTGTCGTTCGATGTGACGTTCTAAGGTGGAGGCCTATGTTCAATAGTGGACGTCTTGCGGCTAATGATGATGAAAACAAAAAACAAAACATTTATATACAATTTGAGATTGAACCCACAGTACGGCGCACAATGACATTCGACCGTTTAACCATTGCGCCGTCCGTGCAGCTGCTAATGAATTCGATTTTTTAATAGTTGTCATTTTGTTTTCAATTTTATTAATATCTTAAGAAATCGCGCTTGTAGCAGACTTCAAAAAGAATAAACAGTTTCTTTATACTTAAAATATCTTCTTAATATTTTTGTGATACTAGTATTTTTATGGTAAATAAGTTTAATAAAATAATAAGAGTAAATTGTAGTGAACACTTTGAGAAGTTGTCTCTGTACGAAGGCATTGTTCTAGAAATACCGTAATCTTGATATTGTCGTTATTTAATTTTTCACCTCCAGTCCCAATCAAAGGTGAATTTTAAATGAATTTTATTTTTATACGACTTTCAGGAGAGAACTGAAGAAAATGCTTTTATGGATGCTATTATGTCCACGACTGTTATTCGCCATTTGATGAACTTCCTTAAAGAAAAAGGTACGGTATCTTGTTAGTTTTTTACGATTAGAGGCCGTGATATTGATCATAACATAAAAAATTTATGATTTTAGGTTATGTTACACCGGACCCGAAACAGCAGAGAGATTTCTTAAAGCAATTATGGTTTGGATTGTACTCCCGGGGAAAAGGCAAAATTAGCAGCTCCGGTTTCGAACACGTGTTCGTTTCGGAGCTTAAGAATGGGGAAGTGTCAGGTAATTATCTGTATTAATTTATTTTACAGGATGTGACGTTATGCCTCAAAAATATTGTATTAACCATCACAACAACACAGGTTTGGTGGTGAATGAAAACATCGTGTGGAAACCTGCATATTTTTGAAATAATATAAAAAAAATGTTTAGAAGATATGTCGTAGCGTGTGCTATGCTCCGATAGGAACACAATGGGACCTTTATATGCTGTTACTTTTCTTTTTACTTTACTTAACTGAGTAACCCGGCTTGTGAAAATCCAAAATGTAAATATAATCGAAGACGTGGTGACTCTATAGCCGTAGATCATACCCAAGGATAGAACTGTTATTTGACGATCTAGCTGTGGTAGGGCGCGCAGCAGCCTCGGCTGTTGCACGAATGGGCTGGCCCGTCCGGGTAAGTACCACGACATCACAGAAGTCCAGCGTAAAGTGGAAGTATGGCAAATACTTTCGCGTTTCGTCTGGTGAGCAAGGTAGCCGGAGCCCAATTTTCAAAAGGTTGTCAACGCATCTGTAACCCTCAGGTGTAGCAGATGTCCATGGGCGGCTGTATTCACTTACCATCAGGTGAACCATCTGCTCGTTTGGCAACTTTTCACATAAAAAAAAAACGATGTTAACATGTTCACATAAATCTTAAACATTTGTACATACATGTACAGAACTAAAGTAAACATTAAAGCAGTATTTTAATACTGGATTAAAGGCACTGTCTCAGTTGATTTCAAAATTAAAAAATACAGTTTCATCTGCAATTTTCTTAAATTTATTAATCTTTTTTGGTTCTTCCTCAGGATTGCACAATTGGATATACTTTTCGAAGGAAGAATCGGCCAACAGAGTTAATTACTTAGGATATTTGAAATACGTCCAGTTAAACGACGTAAGTAAAAAATAGGTTAAATCGTAACACAAATGTTAAAACAAATAATATCGAAACCTTTATCGAAAATTGTCTCATTAATGAAATAAAACGTTTCAGAAAGGGGTCGTTGTCAAACTACACTTTAACCAACAAGGGGTGGACAAACCAGTGGACAGTATGTTTATTGGCACATCACCAGAATTGGAAATAGCACTTTACACGCTTTGTTTTGTTACACGTGTTGGAGAGGATTGCCCTTTAAAGCTCGGAAACAAAGATGTCAACATCATTACCCACAACTTTAGATACCGGAGCAAAAACTATATTGGCAGTGCATTTCCTCAAATCTAACTAATTAGAAAATTCAAAATATTTCGCTTTAATATAACATATGTTAACGCTTAGAGATATTTATTTACAATAAAGCATTTTATTACATTTTAAACACTGAATAATTGTTTTCATTCCATTTGTGTAATTTTGGGAAGATTTTCTACTGTCTGTTGTAAAGTATATATATTTAAATTTACTTTATTTTTGTCGCTACTAGGGTACTAGGGCCATACTATTAAAATTAAGCAATTTACAACAACTCTTCGAGTGTTGTTCATGTACATGAAAATGTTGTTTTGGTAAGTTATTATTTAAACATGATAATTTTTGTTTTACCATCCCTAAAAAGCCCAGTGACTACGAATCCCATGAGACTATTTACTGGATGTACGAAAATTAATGGTTAAATTTTATATCAAGTTTTTATAGTGCTAATCTTTGTACTTAAGATAAAGTGCAAACTATATAAATATAATAGCTAAGGCGAAAAGTGTATGTGTATGTGTGTGTGTGTTTGTATTCCATCTGGTTACAAACACGACAAATAAGAAAGCGCGAAAATATTTTCCATAGTCGTATGCTTATCTAAATCAACATGGCGTATAATTGAACGGTATAGAATTTGACACATACAGCGTCATCTGGTGGTTTAAACTTACTAATGGCGACTTACTAATATATGTACTAATGTATGACCGGAGTCCAAGGTCCAATACCAATGCAAAAGGTACATTTTGCCGTATTTTAATGTCCAAGAATACATTGAAGAGTCACTTTCACACATCTGGGTATGTGTAGTAGGGATTCTTGCTCTGCACTTGCATCTTCCCCGGCTGCAGCTAATTTTATTCTTACCTAAATACTTTTGTGTACATACGTAGTGTCTCGCCTGGCACCCCTTATACGAGTGTCTAGTAAAATGTAACTAACACGTAAGGTTCATTTATACAAAGCATCTATATTGTATATGTCCCAAAATGACGTATGCGAATCTCTGTTTCATGCATATTCGGAGGATAATACATTTGAAACCGTTTAAGTGATTGAAAACAGCATCCTTCGTCGCGAAACCGTATATAACGCCAAATTTAATTGCGACCTTTAAACCTTGTGCTAGTCAGATTTGCGCACGAAGGGTTTCGTTTATTATCTGTAAAACAGAAAAAAAATCATGTCTGTTGTAAGGGAGACCCACTTAAATATAGCGACACCAGAAATATTTCAACTGTCTAACTATCATAGTTCATGAGATACAGCCTGTTGAGACGGACAGACAGACAGCGAAGTCTTGGTAATAGCGTCCCTATATACCGTTGGGTTCGGAACCCTAATTGTCCCCCTGAGCTTCTTTTTACAGTTACGTTGCGCAAATTAACTTGCATCCACCAAGCACAGTGTGTTTGCCGGCGATTTCAAAGTACCGGATTAGCAACCACCCAGGCCAATTATGAATCATTGATTTCGTAAACTAATTGCTCTTTCCAAAAAGATTTGCTAGATAGATTCCACTTCCTAGGTTCGAATACGAACCTCCATCTGATTGTGTAATCAGCAAGCCCTCCCCTGTTAGTCGATTTCAATCTCTCATCTACAGGGGTTGCCCAATTGCAGTGGAGCTGATGACGTCATCGCCGTCATGCACAAATTTCGTTATACTCTCTTGAAGATGAGGATCATCTGTCCCACGGACCTCTTCCCACGAAGCTGTCAAAACCGCTGGTCTTACATCATAGTACACGTCACAAAAACATCAAACATCCATCTAACATCTTATCAACCGACTACAAAAGAGGATGAGGTTCTCTATTCAGTTTTATTTTGTTACATCAGAACTCAAAAAAATTGTCGCATTGGGTTCGGTTTAGCCATGTGGCCTCCCATGTGGTCATAATATATTAGTTTCATTGGTATTGGACTCCGGAGATACATTTATTTATTTATTTATACTATATTGTACACCAAAAAAATACATATATACAAAGCAAATTACAAATGAATGTAAAATTAAGTACAATAGGCGGTCTTATCGCTCAGCAAGCGATTTCTTCCAGACAACCATACATCAGGTAACTCTTCTTCTTTTTCTTTTCTTTTTTGGCGGTTTTCCAAGAATACGCCAATGAACACTGTTAATTCTCAAACACTGTTAGTTATATTTCAACATATTAAACCAAGCTAAGTTGAAATTCTATTAACTCTGCAGGACATAGCAGTGTGAAAATACAATGACTTATTAAATAGCTATTATTATGCCAGTGTCTGCTGACTCACCTAAAACAAACCGGTGTAAAACCAGATTAGTCAAGACAAGCAATTACATTTTCATCTTATTTGAAGTAATAAAATCACATAAAACATAAACAAAAGAGGAAGTTGTGAAAGTTAAAAGAGAATTAAAATTTATAGGACGAGGAATATAGGAAGGAAGTAAATACGTCATACAATGAAGAAGGAAACTTTGGACAGTTAAAATATAATTATGATCTGTGCTTCCCTCATCTAATCCACATTCGCAAAGAGAATTATCACTGATCCTTGATTAAGCAAGATGGATATGGGTGGAAGCATGACAAATTCTTAACCGACACATTAAATTTGAAAAAACCATGGCTTTTTGGGAACTGAGGGTTGAATGAAAGCATAATGCTTTCCCTTTATAAGTTGATTTAATTTCCAGTTAGAGTTCCACTTAACCATGAGACTCCTCTTTGCATAAGATACAAGATCATGGGAAAATATAGTATCTTGGGGGAGACCATTCAAAATAGCATCCCTTGCCAAAAGATCAGCTTCTACATTACCTTCTATACCGCAGTGCCCAGGATTCCAAGCCAAAGACACATTGATTCCTTTCATAAAACATTATATAATACAGATTTGATTTGGAGGATAAGAGGTTTTATCTCTTTAATTCGAAATTGGTTAGAAATAATAGCTTGTAAACAACTGTTAGAATCCATCAAAATTATCGAATTATTAAGGTTGTGTGATTCCACATACAGTAGACCTTGATAGATAGCAGTAGCTTCCCCAGTAAAAATAGAGGATAAAGGGGGGCATTTAAGTTTCAAAATGAATTTATATGGACCAAAAAAGGAACCAAACTAATGCCCCAGCACAACCTATATCAGAAGTTCTAGATGCATCAGTTTTTCCAATTTTTATCAATAATTTCTCGTAATTTAATTTCAGCTATAGGAGAATCTTTTTCAATATTAAGGTTAATCTAAATATTGGGTTTAAAAATTATTTCATCATAGGAGAATTCAAACAATAGATTTAATTTAATTTGGAAGACAGGGTTGGGAAGATGAAAAAGTGTAAGTAAGCATTTAAATAGACAAGGAGAATCTTTATGGAGCCAGATATTGCCTGAAGAAATATGTTCAGAAAGAGTATGAAGTCTGGGAATAAGAGGGTGTATCGAGCATTGGTAGATTTTAAAGAAGAATCGATCAGAAAGATATTGTCTCCTTAAGTACAGTGGAGGTTCGCCACACTCCAATTGGAGGACATTGATTGGAGATTACTTTATTGCTCCAATAACATTGCGAAGGCTTTTTGCTTGATTTTGTCCAAGATTTTAAGGGCTAATTTATTGCAAGGTTCGAAAAGAAAACAACAATAATCAAGGTGACTACGAATGAGAGCATTATACAATAATTTTTGAGAAAATGGATGCGAACCCCACCATACACCAGATAGAGAGTACATAATATTTAATTTTTTTTCACATTTTTTAGAAATATAGTCAATATGGCGAACAAAAGAAAGTTTTGTGTCTAGAAAGATACCCAAGAATTTTACATTATCTCTTGAAGGGATATATTAATTTTCATTAAAGATGTTGACACGAAGAGAAGACTACAACACTGCTCTTAGGGATAGATAGGGATAAACCATTGTCATTCATGTAAATATATAAAGGAAGAATTAATATTAGAACAAGCCTCAGACAGGTTGGCCTTAGAGCTATATATAGCTAGATCATGTGCGTATTGTAAAACTTTACAAAAAGGATTAACTGATAATTCTAGATCATTATGTGTAAATTGTATAAATAAAGTAAAGGACTGAGAACTGAACTTTGAGATATGCCCTTCCAAATGACTCTAGGTCGTAAAATTTCTGAGACTAATAATGATGGATCTAGAAGAAAAGTAAGTTGAAATGAAATTGACTATCCTTACTGGTATACTCAGCTCCGTTTTTTGCCTAAGTACAGGAAGTAGAACATTATCATAGGCGTCTGAGATGTCTAAGAAGCCACCAACCAGATATTCACTCTTAGAGAAGGCAATTTGCGTATCTGTAACTAACAGACTAAGGCTATCCATGGTGCCTAATCCTTTTCTGAACTCGAATTGGCTTTAGGGTAAAACCCCTTTGCTCACCAAGAACCACTCCAAGCGGTTTTTAATTAAAAGTTCAAGAATATTTGCCATTGTACACGACAGAGCTATAGGACGATATCCAGATTCATCATTTCGATCTTTGCCAGGTTTGTATATAGGCAGGATTATTTGTGTTTGATTTTTTGTCATAGAAAAAAAATACTTAGATTAAGCTTCTTTACGAAGTTTGCAAGCCATAGTGCAGTCCAGGTCCCACCATGGAGGAGATGGCATATTTTTAAATGGTTTCTTTTGAGGGATGGATTGACTTGCAGAAGAAAAGATAAAGTTTTTAAGTTCATTATAAATAATAAGAAAGTTACTTTCTTGTACTGGATGAAAAGATGAAATCTGTTGATCTTAAAGAGAAGAATATAAAGAATAATTTGCTTTATAAATATTATATTTAAAACGACGATGACGACAAAACATTCCAAGAGAGGAGAGAGCACACTCCTAGAGAACAAAGGGTGAGATCTACAGAGTTATTTACATTTTGAAATGGTTTTGTTTGCCGGGTAGGGTAACTATCATTGAGGAAACACAGATCTGAATCATTTAAAAGATCTAGAAAAGGAATGGACAAAGAATCACAGAAGTGAAAACCCCATGATGTAGGAT